CCGTTATTATTGATCCAATGAAAAAATTTGAAGTTGAAGTATTTAAATCAGTAATTAATCAGGCAATTCAAAGTATAAGTCAGAGATCTGAAGCCAATAAACAAATTTATGAAGATTTTTCAGACCTTGACACCAGAAATTTTAAAAGTTTGGATTTATTAAGCGACTGATATTGCAGAAATATTGGGATCGATAATGTAGAATTAAAAAATGAATTATTGAGTTTCACACAAATATAACCGGATGATAAAAAAATGTAAAAACAGACCTCTGCATAAATAAGTCTGAAACAAATGAATGAGTAGGTTGCGTACACTGTACTTTTAAAATTTTAAGAGAATACAATATGCATATATCCACTTTTTCAAATTTGTATATTGCTTATAAGTTTTTAATTACTTTTTCTTGCACCCTAGTGGCATGCGAACGAGTACTTTCTCTATTAAAAATAATTAAAAATAGACTTAGATCTTTGTTAGGCCAAGAATTATTGCAGGCCCTAATATTAATGAATACGGAAAGAGACATCTTAAATAGTATTAACCCAGAAAAAATTATCGATAAGTTCCACAAGCTCAATTTATTATAATGCTTTGACTTTTTAAGCTTCGTTTTTACTTTCCTATCTGTATACAGATATAAGGAAAGTATAGGAATCATGATTTTTTTCGACCTCCAGTTTTCGACGGATTTTTACGTTTTGAGGTCCCCTGAATCCGTTTTGACTATTTTCGCGATGATGTCTGTGTGTGTGTGTGTGTGTGTCTGTATGTCGCATAACTCATGAACCGATACACAGAAAAACACCAAATTTTAAACTTAAGATTTATTTCAGCGTCTAATGAACTGATTAGATTTTGGGCAGAGTCGGAACATCTGGGGGGGGGTACTTTATACGTGGCCATTTTTATATTTTATGGAATATATCTGTTATTTACGTTTGGAGAAGAAAATTCTTCAAATAAAAGTTACTTCTAATATAATTATCTATAATTTTTGTTCTATACAAAATTTTCCTAAAATGGTCCGTATTCGAGAAATTTGACAAAATGTAAAAAAAATATTTTTTTATAAAAATTGTTCAAATAAAAGTTGTTTGTAATATAATTCTCTATAATTTTTATTATATACATAATTTCTCTAAAATGGACCGTATTCGAGATATTTGAGAAAATGTGTAAATTTCGAATTTTGAAGAAAACTCAAAAACGGATAAAGAAAAAAACATTAAATTTTAAACTTAAGTTTTATTTCGGCCTGACGTGAAATGATTAGATTTTGGACATAGTCGTAACATCTGGGGGGTACTTTATGGGAGGCCACTTTTATATTTTATGGAATATATCTGTTATTAATGTTTGGAGAAAAAAATTGTTCAAATAAAAGTTACTTCTAATATTATTATCTATAATTTTTGATTTATGTAAAAATTTCCTGAAATGGTCCGTATTCGAGAAATTTGACAAAATGTGCAAAAGTTTTTGAAATAAAAGTTGTTTGCGATATCGATCTCTATAATTGTTGTTTATACATGATTTTTCTAAAATGGACCGTAATGGAAAAATTGTAGGAAAAGTGCTAAATTTAAATTTTTCATTATTTTCATTTTCAATGAAAATCTATAGAAAAATGTTTCGAGGTAGATGTATGTGGAAAATGTATTTATTTTATCCTCTAAACATTTATGGAGGTGCTGCAATAGGTTGTACAAAATAACCGGAAAAAGCCTGTAATAACTAGATAGGAAAGTCATGTGTTGGACACACCAGATTTTTTACTTTCCTATCTGTATACAGATATAAGGAAAATATAGGAATCATGATTTTTTTCGACCTCGAGTTTTCGACGGATTTTTACGTTTTGAGGTCCCCTGAATCCGTTTTGACTATTTTCTCGATGATGTCTGTGTGTGTGTGTGTGTCTGTAGGTCGCATAACTCATGAACCGATACACAGAAAAACACCAAATTTTAAACTTAAGCTTTATTCCAGCGTCTAATGAACTGATTAGATTTTGGGCAGAGTCGGAGCATCTGGGGGGGTACTTTATAGGTGGTCATTTTTATATTTTATGGAATATATCTGTTATTTGCGTTTGGAGGAGAAAATTCTTCAAATAAAAGTTACTTCTAATATAATTATCTATAATTTTTGTTTTATACAAAATTTTCCTAAAATGGTCCGTATTCGAGAAATTTGACAAAATTTAAAAAAAAATATTTTTTTATAAAAATTGTTCAAATAAAAGTTGTTTGTAATATAATTCTCTATAATTTTAATTCTATACATAATTTCTCTAAAATGGACCGTATTCGAGATATTTGAGAAAATGTGTAAATTTCGAATTTTGAAGAAAACTCAAAAACGGATAAAGAAAAAAACATTAAATTTTAAACTTAAGGTTTATTTCGGCCTGACGTGAAATGATTAGATTTTGGACAAAGTCGGAACATCTAGGGGGGTACTTTATGGGAGGCCGTTTTTATATTTTATGGAATATATCTGTTATTTATGTTTGGAGAAGAAAATTGTTCAAATAAAAGTTACTTCTGATATTATTATCTATAATTTTTGTTTTATGTCAAAATTTCCTGAAATGGTCCGTATTCAAGAAATTTGACAAAATGTGCAAAATTCTGATTTTTATGAAAATTGTTGAACTTAAAGTTGTTTGCGATATCGATCTCTATAATTTTTGTTTATACATGATTTTTCTAAAATGGACCGTAATGGAAAAGTGCTAAATTTTAATTTTTCAGTATTTTCGTTTTCAATAAATATCTATAGAAAAATGTTTCGAGGTAGATGTATGTGGACAATGTATATATTTAGTTTATCCTATAAACATTTATAGAGATTCTGCAATAGGTTGTACAAAATAATCGGAAAAGCCTATAATAACTAGATAGGAAAGTCATGTGTTGGACACATCAGATTTTTCTGATTGTGTATACCTATCATTAATAGGCTTTTTTATTTTTGTTATGTTCTTTAAGAATGGTAGTTTTATTTAGTTTTGTGATTTTGTACGTATACCTGTTTATTTTAATTATTTGTCTGTTGACAACGTTATATTTTGTTATAGAAATTTTTAGTCAGTTTTAGTCAAATAATACTTATTTGCACTCCTATTTTTGACTCTGTAATATTATTTTTCTTATTTGTTGTTGTTTATGGAAGCCGGTTTTTTTTTAATGTTAATTTGTGATTTTTTCCTTTTTTACTTTTATTTTTATTTATTTTGGTTTTAATATCTAAAATTTTTTCGTTTTGTTGTTTATTTAGGAAACTAAAATTTTTTTATATAAAAATTAACCTTTATCTTTTATTTATTACCTACACAGTATTTATATTATGTTTTAAACGCATAATTTTACAGTTTTTTTAAATTATTTGAAACCGTCGCCAAGTACTTGAAATTTCATGATTTTGGACTATCTATTTTAACACTACTTTTTAATATATAAATTCTAAATATTTTTGTCTTAAATGTGATTAATTACCTTTATGGGAATAATCGAGTTGGTCAAAGAAAGTAGGATGGGGGGCCAATTACTCGTGGTGCCGATGGGGCCAAATTTAGCCAGTCCGACCCTGGTAACATCCTCATGTTTTTTCAAGCCTGTTTGTTGTAAAACGTGAGAAATAATCGACGAACGGATGCTATGGCTCTTACACCAGCGTTGACGACCAGCTAATGAGTTAGTGAAATGCAATATGCCTTGCAGTTTATTAGCTGCATCTGCATTGTTTGTTCCAATGGAAGGTCGATGGGTTGTCAGGAAAAAGATTTGTCAGTGCGTTTAATTCCAAACGATCCTTGTTCAAAAACTTCTCTTAAACCTGGATGAGTTTCATCAACTTGACAGAGGTTATAATGGTATTTTACAAGCCACCTTGCATAATTTGGCTGGTTAAGAAAAAAAAAACGAATTCGTTATTCTTGGTAAAATATCTTTGAACAAGGCGAAATTCCGTGTTCTTATACTTCTTGCATTGAATAATAAATAATATTCAATCAAATAGATATAATTCATGTAAAACTGAGCCGTTTTACCATGTTCTCCAGTTATTGTTTTTTCTTATACTCTTCATATTTTTCAATAATATCCAGCAACAATGGGCAATCAATTTCACTATAACTTTGTTTGTTTTTCGCGTAATTCGTAAGATATTGTTTAATTGTTTATTATGAATTAATTTGAATTTATATCAAAATGGGGACTATATGTATATTGTTTTCGTGGTTTTTACACTTGTAATAAAAATATCAAAGTTATGAATTTTTAATATCGTGAGAATAATCGACTACAATTATCAATCATTATGGTCCAATAACACTGATAAAAATGGATTATTATGGTAATTTATTACTATGCAGTGATTAAATATCAATAGAAATAGATTAGTATTTAATTAATATTGCAACAATGATGAAATTTGGAGTAAAATGAATTAAAACCCCAGATAACACCAGCATCCGCGTGCGCTCTATACGTTCCCTTCCGATGACTGCTGACTGGCTCTGTCATATGAAATCGAAGTCTGACTTGTTTTTTCATCAATTATACATGAAAATAAAGAAGCCCACAAATTTTCAGCATTTAGAAAACTCTTGCGACGATGTAGAAATTTCTACAACTTCGGCGCTTTGCTGACTTGCAGCGTCACTTAGTTGTGCGGTCTGACCACTACCTCTCGGATTTGGATATTAAAATGAAGTTAATTACCAATTTTCAACCATTAGAAAACTCTTGTAGTGTATGTGCTGATTCTACATAGTTCAAAGCGTGCCGCCGCCGAACGCAGCGCTACCTAACTTTGCGAGTGGGTGCTGACTCAATACTATGGTATGTAGAAAAATTAGCCTTTAGAAAACTCTTGCAGAATTTGTCCGCCAGCTCTACGACTAAATGGAAGGAATTTGAAATAAGTAGTTTACAAGAAAAATCTCTATTGTACATTATTTATTTAATTTTTCATCATAAATGTTTTATAGTCTCTTATTTTTAAGCCAATTATATTGCGTCCATGTGTCATAAAATCGAAATACAATAAAAAAAATTGTATAATTCTAAAATAAACGAGTGCACACAAATATTTGTTTTAATAATAACATTCTCATATTGTTAGAGAGTCTAACAAACCCTCAATTATGCAAGAAGTTCTATTATCAAACATCCAGCATTTAAGTACAAAATCTTACTATAGTAGAGACGTCCTAAGTTGACTAATTTTGGATTGGTACATCCATAAATTATTTTACTACAGACACTTGCTCAGCGACCCTTTAAAATACTTATTAAATAATCTCAATCCTTTTTCTGATATGCGACCTATTGAGGTTACCATTATGATATTTTTTATAGAGGATACAGTTGGTTCAATAATCAGTTAACCCTTTGAATAGGTGTACCTAATTAAAAATACATGAAGTACATAGTTTTTATGCTGTGAATAAGCTCAGTCTTTAAAAATACCTTATTGATAGTGCTGCTGACATTTCAATAATTAAACAATCCATAGTAAAAACAACAGTAAATAGTACTGTTTGGATACCGCTGAAATTTTAATCCAAAGTGGTACACTTAGAACGGCTAGAATATAGCAAACGATTACTAAGGGTCCGTTAGACAACAAAAACGTACTTAAAAATAATAAATAAGTTTCTAGATAAACTTTACGCCTCGATGTTGCAACACAGCTTCTTTCGTTTTATAAAACCACTGACTAATTTTAGTGTTCTTTAATATATCCTTAAATGCATCACATCCTTCTATACTGCTTAAAACTCCATATACTGCCAAATCGGCGAGATTAGGATCACTGCCACCCATAAACGGACCTCCTTTCAATTTAACTGCCCTCACCCAATTATTGCATTCATCATAAAGCGACTGTCTTACATCGTCTTTGAGGTTATGCCGCTTTTTCAGTCGCTTCCCAATCAGCCACATAGCCCCCGCTCCGACGTAGATCATCAGGTAACGTTCCCAACTTGGGAAATTGGTTTCCCATTCGCCCACGTCAGAGAACCAAGAAAAGGCTTGCATGGCTTCAGCTCGGGTTCGGTATACGTTCGGCGAAAGCGTGTGGACCAGCACAGTGTCTGCCCATTTCCTCCATTTTCTCTCTTCGCTGCAAAAAATACTTATATATAGTATATTTGAAGAACAAGAAAGAGTTAGCCTAGGAGGCAGCATTGCAAATAAAACATTTCATCAAACCTGATTTATGGTTTCAAGCATTTATTTGAAGATATAAGCTTCAGCTATGCCAGTAGTGGTGGAGTTGGTTGTGAGAACATTCAGATTGTTAAAAAAAAAAATCATCAAACTTGAAAATTGGTAGAACTAAGTTTATATAATACAGAATTCAAAAATAACAGTCAGCTGCATTGACAATAGAGAGATATTGCAAATTTCTATAACGTCAATCACTAATAGTGACAACATAATTGAATCGTTTATTTCAGAAACAATCTAAGTAACTTTTTAAGAATTTTCAGGAGGGTAAAAAGAATGTTTTGAACTAGGACCAGGACTGAGGTTGTTTCAGAAATAAACAAAAATTTTAAATTGTCTTATAACTAAGGATGTTTACGGAAGTTGAGTTCTTTCTGCATTAAATCTGTGATACTCTGAAACTACAATGTTAATGTGATAAACCCAATATGGAGAAAAAGTGACTTATGTTGTTTCTGAAATAAACGATTCAATTAGAGGCAAATAAATTTCCTGCTAATTTTATTTAAGACTTATTGCAAACCTGAAATTTTGAGATTAGAGTCCTTGTCCTTATACATATTTCTAACCTTATTTTAAAAATTTTAAATTACAGTTTATCTTTTTTCTTGTTTATAAAAGTACATAATTAGGAAGAGGCATTAGAAATTACATTTTAGAAGGTATAGATGATGGATGATATTAAATATTTAATATTAAAAAACTTCAAACTGATACGAATGTTGGCGAGCGCACCCAAACACTATAAAGTCACCACTAACTGCTGTCCTTAAATATCCACACTCTTTATTATAATCAGTTCTAGAATGTAAGTGATCTGCTCATGCTCATATTCAAAATAAGAGCGGAAAAGTGACTGACCTTAAGTGAACTTGCAATAACTCTCTATTAATGGTGGATTATTTTTCAGTTACCCTTATAAACCTATAATAAAAAGTGAGGATACAAACTTATTTCATAAATCATGAAACTTATAAAGAGTGTTTATAATATTACAATAATGAAAATAAAAATCAGCTATGCTTCTTCAGATGGAGGGGGAGCATAGATTTTGAATGATTTCATCCTCACATAATTTAATTAATTAACTGACTGACAATTGAAACTATTGAATATAAAAACTCTAACTCTAAAATCATTTTGATAAATTTTTTGAGGATTTATTATTTTTTATACTGATAACTAACTGACTTTCTTACTACTATTTGAGGATCTTTCCTCTATTACATAATATAAATAAAAATAATGGTGTTGTTAGTTGTTACCTTTCTTCCTCTTCTTCAGTCTTATTTTGCTGTTTTCTATTAGTCAACATTAGAAAATATTTATTCATTATTTCATTCTTTTTTGAGCCATTTTCATCTAGAAAACTAATTGTTGGAAAACATTTAACAATCTCGGATATATTGTTCTGTTTATCAAATAAATAAGAAGCCAATGCAGACACTATCATTGTGCTATCATTTAGAGGCTAAAATTAATATAATAATTATTAAACTAGTTGGTTAATTTTGTTGGTTGTACTAACCTGATAACCGGTTTCCGTTTTAACAACTAAAATTGGTACCTTTCTATAAGGTGACCATTTGATTGCTTGCCTCAATACTGGATCGACTTCTACAATGTTATATGATATACCATAATAATCCAAAAAAGCTCTTACTTTGCAACAAAATGGACAAGTCTGGTATTGATATAATGTTAATTGTAATCCTGTATTATCTTCTAAACACTTTACCTATAATAATATTTAATGTTATTTTTCCATTTACTAAGTCTTAAGCTGAAGTTTGCCTGGTTATAAGTACCGAATAGTTTCCATTTACTAAGTCTTAATCTGAAGTCTGTAGTACAATATGTAGGTAACAATTATTTAGTTATGGTGAATTAAAAAAAAACTTACAATTTTGGTTGGTTTTGTGTAGGGAATATCGTCTAAAACGGATATAGTAGTTGTTTCATTCAAAATATGGGCTCGTGGTTGATTTAAATAGTGAATTGAATAGCCGGTACCTACTAAAGCTCCAACTGTTAAACCTGCTAACCCAATTCGAAACGTTAATTTTTTAGGCTTATTCGCTGAAAAATGTCTAATTGATTGGCCTAATAAATAAGACGAACGTAAGAGCGCTTGAGTAAATATTGTTTTTGGTAAAATAGGCATTTTAAATATTTATTTTTAAAAGTCCTAATTTTGACTTTTCAAGTTTTGAACTACATGACAAATGAAGTCAATTGTCAGTTGTGAATCACCTGTCTCATTGCGTTCGGTTTGCCACGTTCCTTTAACTCCTTTAACACTTTTAACTCCAAACGACTCTTTTAGCGTTCGGTTTAGTCCGTAGTGACAGTTTAACACGCTTAAATGTCATTTAAAAGCACCCTAAAATTTGTCCCGCTCCAGCCCCTGACTGACCGAACTCGCCTTCTGTAGAATCAAATTCCGATATTGCCACTAGTTATATCAATAATCAATACTTAATTTTTATTTATTTATCGTACGTGATATCTTCAAATATATAAAAAATATATCATCTAAGACAGATATCTTACTGTCTCCCTTGTCTCCTCCTACTTTCAATGGCTATCATTGATAATGCTAGCTAATCGCCTGCTGATATGATATGGCAACCCTGCGGGCCTGATAATTTGACAGGTCAAAGAATTAGGCATTCCAACGACCTGTCAAACAATATGTGCAGTGGGAAATTCTTGTGTATTTAAGGGGGTAGCGACATAGTCTTGCAACTTGGACGCTATTTTTATTCGAAGTAGTACTCGCCAAGCCTGCCAATTTATGAAGAAATGTATAGGTGGGTTTTTTAAATATTATTTTTCTACACCCGTATTATAATAATGCACTTATATGCCCATAATCCGTTTCATAATGATACCCATTATGATACAGATTTTTCATTACGATACAGATTTTTAATCAATAGAAACCTACAATTTTTCAATCAAGCATGCTGTTTGACGTTTGTCCTAGGTTCCTATGTAATTATTTTAGTTGTCAAAACGTATTAAATTTTCGTAGGTAGCTAAACTTCGATAATTATAATAAAATGTCTGATATTAGCGATATAGAAGACTCCTCCACACATATCGGAGAAAGCAGAAAATACAGTACAAAATATTTTACCGCAAAAATCTAGGGAAATACATACCTGAAGTAATACACCATTAATTACAATTTTGTAGAATTTTTTATAGAAATACGAGTAATTACTGTTATTGTGTTCAATACCAATATAAATATAATATTTATAGGTCTTGATTATTTATCGGGTGTAGAAAAAATAGCGTATGCAACTCTAATGTAATGGTTATTAAAACACTCGCATAAACCATACGAAACTCGCCTTTGGCTCGTTTCGTATCCCGGTTAATGCTCGTGTATTAATAACCATCATTACATGATCGTTGCATAATATACTATTTTATTGTGTTTGACACAAAATATTTAAATGTAATCCATTATTCGTGATTTTACTTAAAGTAGATAGAATACACCATGTGTCGCCACCCTTAGATATACCAAACCTGCCCACTGGTAATTCATTTGTTTGGAATGCCTAATTAGGCATTCCAACGACCTGTCAAACAATAGGTGCCAGTGGGAAATTCTTGTATATTTAAGGGGGGTAGCGACATAGTCTTGCAACTTGGAGGCTATTTTTATTCGAAGTAGTACTCGCCAAGCCTGCTAATTTATGAAGAAATGTATAGGTGAGTTTTTTAAATATTATTTTTATTGTGTTTGACATAAAATATTTAAATGTAATCCATTATTCATGATTTTACGTAAAGTAGATAGAATACACCATATGTCGCCACCCTTAGATATACCAAACCTGCCCACTGGTAATTCATTTGTTTGGAATGCCTAATTGGCATTCTTGGCAACCTCGGAACTCTTTCTGTAGACAATCGCTACGGAATTTTCTAGAACTCTCTTTACACTTACAAATGTCTTTTCAATATTAATTTTGAATTATTCTTTCATAAATCAAAATTTAGTTCTACTAAAGAATCTTAAAAGCAATTCTATTGCCGCGTTTGAGAATCCACATCGGATGCATTTTTTACATCTCGAGCGTTTTTTTATCCACATCGGACACATCTACTACATCTACATCTGCGTTTGTTTATCCCAGATGTACCTGTTCAGATTACATTTTTTACATCTCGATTTGAAATGAGATGTGAATGAGATGTTCGTTCCATGTCAGAAAGTAAGTGTTCTGTGAAGCCTTGTTTGTCAATTTATCCTTTGTTTATGCTAGCATGAATATAAAAGTGATTAGTTTGTATAATTTTTGTTTATATTTCAAATTTAGGTTGATTTGTAGTCTCAAAAGTCAAATTTAATAAGTATAAACTTCTAACTTGTCATTGACATTTTATCACGTGACCAAATAAAGTCTAGAGCGTTTGTTTATTACATCTACATTCAGATCTAATTCTCTATCACGTGATAAAAAATTCACAACATCTCAGATGCATCCGATGTGGATTCTCAAACGCGGCATTAGATAATTTAAAAATAATGGCAAATATTTCAAAGGCAAATTGCCAATTTTTTAAAGGCCTTTTAGATGACCTTCAAAAATATGACATGTGACAGTATATATGGCATTAGTCATCATTTATTTGTGTTTTGATCGTGAATCTCGTTGTTTTGGAATAAATAATTATTTATCTCAAAATAGTAAAATTACTCAGTACACATTGTTTATAAACTCTTCTCTTGAAATATAATGAGTGCAGTCTACAGCGATGGTACGTTTTTTGTCCGATTTATGACAACAATAGGGCCACTAAGTTTCTGATATGATTATGAATTTTATTTCTGCTTTCAGGCCGACATGTCACGAGAAGACGTAAATTTGTTGAATTCTTTGGAAAAATTGGAATTGGATATTAAGATCAGCAAAAAAGCGACCGATGATTCGAAATCTAATCCATTCATGAGAAGAAGACGTTCAAAGTCCCTTTCCTCGCTAAATTTCGGTTCGACATGCAATTGTATACACCAACCACAGAGTGTCAAGCACACCACATCATTCAAGAAGCCCAACAAGAAGATATTAAGGGATCCTGTGTTAAAATTTCTCAAATATACTCAAAAAGTTAATAAAGGAACATTGTTGAATCAACGAAAAGAAAAGCAGTTTGGTGAAAGGTTCAATCATGCAGACGATTTCAAATCTCTTATAAACGGTTGTGAGTTATTAAGTATAGGTAATAATGAAGCTAATACAGGCAACTTCTCTACCCCCAGTTTTTTGCAAGCTCAATCTCACAATGGTGTACAAAGGTCTGATAATAATGCTACTACTAGTGTCGGCAGTTGTTCACATCAAGCCAGGATGAATGTTAACCCCCCTTGTGATGTCACCATTGATGAACTAGCTAGTTATTTCGAAACTTTTGTACATATTCCTAAAAAGATGAGTTCTATGGCTGAAATGATGTATATTTAATCATATTTGGGGAAATTGTGTTGTCACTTTCCTTGTATAAACTTTTTTTTGTTATATTAATAATATATTTAGTCCTTTTTTGTGATTATGAGTCTTAATTTTTGTATCACAAAATTAAGATTTTATTATGTAGTTTTCTGCCATTTTTTTTTCAACATAAAATTCTTATACCTAATTATATTCTTACAGTTTAACTGGAATAATTTCTTATTTCAATCAGCTAAATAGTTTGAAGACGTAAAATCTTAATAATTATATGATAATGAAATTATTTTATTAGGGACCTATTTTTGTGTTCCTAACTATTCCATATACCTCTATTACTTATCTAAATACAAGAAGAGAATATTATATTTTTCATTTTAGGTACAGTTTAAAATCATTTTTGAAATATTAGGTATTTGTTGCTTAGATCTTTCTGTTTTTTTTTATATTGATATTTTCTAATTTTACTTAATATTGTTGTACTCAAACATTGTATGTTTCTGTATGTAAGAGCTGATCAATATTTATTGTAAGCTTCTATGTTAGATAAATAATTTTGTTAGTTAGACTTTTACTGGTTTTTTAACTTGTCTTTCCAAAATACAATTACCTAACTACTTATGTACAGAATTTTTCCGATAGTTTCAAAAAAATCCTGAACCCAAAGAAGATTGTAAAATTTCTTGTTCCTTGATATTTTCAATGATATAAATGATTTATTTTTCAATTCAGTTTTAAATTGCTTATTAGTTTTTGTTACTAGATAGGCTATAAAAAAAAAATATCTAAAATAGGTAATGTCTATAAATAAAAATTTATTGTGTGACAAAGATCTTTGGTATTTCCCCATCTTTTTGCCCAATATTAGATATTCAAAAGGTATTTTATTTTATTGTGTGTTTATTTGGACTCTTTTGTTGTTCTATTTAAGTATTGAAGTTTTACAAGCATATGTCTACTGTTCCAATAAGAACAAACTTACAAATAAATATTGGTAAAGAAAAACTTTAGAATTTTGTATTATACAGAATATTTCTTTCTGGAAGGGCATCCATATATTTTATTTTCACCAAAATATCTTTCAGACAACTGTGCAACATTTCTTACTAATGCTGAGAATATTCAGTCTGCTTATATTAATTATGGGATAGTCACTTCTAATTGGGTCTTTATAGTGTTGTATCACTTGTGTAAATGTGGTTATCTGAAGGTTGACAGAATTTTGTTCGAAACACGTTCGAAAACCTTTAGATTGAGAATACATTTGTTAGAAAAACTTAAGTTAGAAAATACGTTTCTTCGAAAAAGTCTAGTTCGAAAACACTTTTTTTCGAAAAATCTTAGATTGAAAATTGTTTTATTCGATAAAGTGTATCTCGAAAATCCTTTTAAGTTTTTTTTTTTTTTCATTTAATAATTTTTTAGCTAAGCAATTTGCGATGACTCCAGGCGGCACGGTTAGGTAAATTCGTTTAATATTTCTTATTTTATGTATATTCATTTTGCGTAGAAACCCGTGGTGACTCCAGGCCGCACAGGTTAGGTAAATTAGTTAATATTTTTTTAATTTTCTCTATTTTATGTATAATTTTTTGCGAAGCAACTCGCGATCTCTCCTTGCTGCTCATGTTAGGTAAATTAGTTGTTTTTTAGTTTTAATTTGAACACTAGGAAAATTACTCTATTTTCTTTAATATATTTTACATGTAGATTCTACCAAAAAATCGTTTTTTTTTTTCTAAGAACAAGAAAACTATTTTTGATTAAAAGTATTTTTGAACAACCTCTCATTCGAACAAACTTATTTTCTAACCAAAAGTTTTCGAACAAACGTGTTTCGAACATAATTCCGCCATCCATTCAAAACATCTATTGTAACTTTCATTTACCCTTAATCAGATAATATTAGTAAAAGGAGCACATGAACATCAGCAGGTTAACACTTTTGCCAAGTTATGCTAATAAAAGTGTGATGGTTTGAGTAAGTTTGTAGCCTTAACCTTGGACTTTAAGGCCCAATTATACAGGGAGTCCCATTAATGCGTAATTGTTCAATATTTCAATTTGTGTTATTGACACGCAAACAAATTTTAAATAAAAGTTATATGTATATGTATTTTATTTCAGTTTTAGAATGGTTTGGTAAAACTATCCAACCCTAGAATATTTTTTAAATATTACAAGGTTGCGAAGCAATTTTTTTATGAAATTTGAGAATGATGCAGACCCCAAATTAACATAATTTAGGTAGTTTTACAATGATTTCGAAATTGTTTAAAATACAGACCTGTAAGATACTAAGCTAACGAATAGTGGTGATAGAACTGGTTTATTTTATACAGAGTGTCTGGAAACATGTCTTAAATATTGCTAATTTTAAGTTTAATTTACTTAATTTTTTCAAATGCAACACCCTGCATATTATTTTGTCATAAAATTCCTTATAAATTTTTACCTATCCAACGATACCAACATGTTAGCCAATAACACATATACAGGGTGCTTCATCAGTGAGCAATTGATTGATAGCCGTTTATTGGAGATACAAAAAAAATATTAATATAAAAGTTGTATGACCATGTTTAATAAAAATATTCTTAAATATACAGGGTAGTCCATAAACGAGGGGCTGATCAAACTTGTACATTTTTAAAGCAAAACACCCTGCAGGTAGTTATACATATTTTATGGTTTTCACATGGTCAAACAATCTTAATAAACTTCATTTATTTGTTATGTTGTATATAGGGTGTGTCAAAACGCGAGATTACGATTTTTTCAATTTTTTAAATGCAATACCATATATGTTATACTACCAATTAATTATCATATGGTATTCCATTTAAAAAATTGAGAAAATCGTAACCTCGCGTTTTGACACATCCTATATACAGCATAGCAAATGAATGAAGTCAATTAAAATTGTTTGACGATGTGAAAACAATCAAATATGTATAACTACCTGCAGGGTGTCTTGCTTTGAAAAATAGATTTGGTCAGCACCTGGTTTATGGACCACCCTGTATATTTAAGAACAATTGTAAAATATGGTCATACAACTTTTATATTAAAAATTTTCTTCGTATTTTTAATAATAAAATAGCCATCGATCAATTACGCACTGTATAGACAAATTTATAATGAATTTTATGTTAAGATAAAATACAGGGTGTCGCATTTGAAAAATTGAGTAAATTGAACTTAAAATTAGCCATATTTAAGACATGTTTTAAAACACTCTGTATAAAATAAACCAGTTATATCGCTACTATTCGTTAGATTAGTATTTTATAAATCTGTATATTAAACAATTTTGAAATCAATGTAAACCTACCTAATTTAATTTAATTTGGGGTTTGTCATTTAAAAAAAACTAATTGCTTGGTAACACTGTAATGTTCTTTAAAAAACATTTTAGGGTTGAATACAATTTACCAAACCATTCTAAAAATGAAATAAAATAGAGGGTGTTCTATTTAAAAAACATACATTTTTATTTGCCAAGCAAAAACGCAATACCCTGTATATCCAAAAATATTGTTTGCGTATCTATAACACATTAAAATATTGAACAATTAGACACATTTTAATAAATTTTAAAAATTATGTGTATCAATAACACACTGTACATTATTCTTTTTGTTTTTCTTTCATGTGGCATATAGATGATCCACCCACCTTAACTGTTTCATGTTTTATCGTTGGTAAGTCTAATATTAAACTCAACATCCCTGGATTAGAAACACCCCTATTTGTAACATAGGATTGTTTTTGCATAATATGCAGGTTTTTTAGGTGTTCTACTTAAGAGCTATAGCTGGATTGTCATAAATAGTAATATAAAAGTTTGTTAAAGACTAATAATTATTATCTAAACTAAAAACATAATGTCTAAAAAGAGCTGAGGTCGTAGAAGAGTGAGAAATACAACAAAATCAGTTGAGAATTTCATAGAGGAATAATTACCAATAAACTGGATCAAACCAGGTAGATCCTGTAAAAATTGACAGAAAAAACTTTTTATCGATTTAGAATGGGTATAAGTACTTTTAGTGTATTTTCACAATTATTTTAACTATGAAGATGAACTTTGGAAATGAATCTGAAAAGAAAAATGGCGGAAATATGGATAAAAACAATTATTAAAGAACAGACTATTAAAGAAGAATTTGAAATTAACTCCTCTGGAATGGAAATTTTGGAAGAAATGATAATAAGATTGGAACAACTACTATTTAAAGAAAATCAGCCGTTTTTAAATTATCACCATGAATATATGTATAGATAGAATAGGAAAGATTAAGATATTGAAAATTGTAGGCGTTTGTGCCAATTATTCTAGTGACAGAATGACATGTTAAATTATCCTAATTGATATATAGATACTCCTATGGTCTATGGTTAATTTAAAATAAGTAAAATGTTAGTTTATTTTTAAATTAAATAATAAATTATTGTTGACAATTTAGAACAGTTTATTATCACACCCCATTTTCCTCTGGACTTAATAATCACGCATAATAATAATACTCTTCCTAATTCACCCCCTTACCCAGACAGCACACCAAATCCTTTTTATATCTACTGCACATCCCAATATCCACTGAATGTCCAGTCCATGGTGGATATCTATTTTATATCCATGATATGTAATTTATAGACATGCAAATGTCCATAAATAATAGTAATTATATAGCAAATTATTAAAAAATTACGCCATTATGGCTAATAGTACCGTTCAGATATTTAAAATTAATTTTTTTAAGGTGTATTCAATATCCTATGGACATCCACTAAATATATCAAAGTCTAGGCGCGAACGCAAACCATCGTGGATATCCACTAGATGTTATTTGATTTTGCTTACTAAGTATGGATGGCGATACCACTTTCGCATCTACTCATGCTCGACCCGCCGTAATTGAGTTCGATCGAAATTTGTGTTCTAATCAGACTCCATTAGAGACTGCGGAGTCGAGAATTTCAATTTATTGCCGAAGAGTTCTAATAAGGATGACAGTGTTGAAAATATTTTTATCTCTGCTCTTTTCTTTCGACGTTATTCAATAATCATTGGTTACTTATGAACCTCTACTAAAGATAAAATATGTTGCTGAATATCCGAATATCTTCTATATCCTGGGATTTGGTTGGATATCCATATTGAATATCCACAAAATATATTCTGTGGATATCACTGGGATTTCTTGTATTTTCTGGAAGATACCCATTAGATATTTTGCTGGATATCCATTAGGATATCTTTTATATTCTGGGTATAGACGGACATTCGGATATCCATATTAGATCCACGGAATATTTCTGATATCCTGTGGATATATTGGATATCCACAAAAGATATTCTGTGGATATATTGGATATCCACAAAAGATATTCTGTGGATATCTCTGGGATTTGGTGTGTTGTCTGGGTTACGAGTGAATTTCAACCTCTGAAGTTGACTGAACGACTTGTGTAGAGGATGGGACGGCTATTATTATTTTACGGGGCGATTTAAAGATGAATGATGGTGCCCATCTGACTTACACCATCATTGAGACAGTAACGCATGACCATTTTATAATCGGCATGTCATTTCAACAGAATACGGCACACATCAAATTCTATATCGAACCATGAAATTTAATTAAAAATCCACATGGTCTGGGGTAGGATTCGAAGCCACTCTGTCTCTGACCACAAACTTGCCTATAAATGAATATAAGCGCGTGAGCCCGTTACGCCACCGACTCGATGTTATAGCATGTTCCAGCTTACAATTATTTAGTCTTCTTTTTAAATGACAGTTTGGATATAATTTAGAGCCATGTATAGTTATCACAGACATACTCATACCTATATCTGTCTTTATCGGTCATTGACTACTTTAGACATTTTCTTGTGGATCACATGTTAGATTAAATTGCTATGAATTACAAATATGGTCACTATTTTACCGAAATTTATAATATAATAGAACTAACACACCCGTCTCTACTTGTTTATACAGATGAAAAGCAAAGGTCTTTCCCACGGCCATTTTGTTTCTTCCGTTTCTATAGTAAGTTTATTGTTATTTTGGCTAATGGAAATAAACCATCAGTATACCCTAGATGGTTTTCAGCTGAACTTAAAAAGTTGATTTCTCGCAAGAAGGCAGCTCATGCTGTATTCAAAAGTACTTGGTCAGCTGTTGATTACTTAAATTTTTCTAACTTTCGGTCTCAATGTAAAAATTTATCAAAACTAAATTATGAAAATTATATTTCTGGTATAGATCTGAAGGTTTGTGAAAATACAAAATACTTCTGGAACCACATTAATTCTTTGAAACAAGACCATGGTATTCCCAATCTTTCCTGCATGGTATTCCCAATAGAATGTATAATGGGAAAGCCATCAGTAATTTGTTTGCTACGCATTTCTCCAGAGTTTATAAGAAAGATATTGTAGATGAGCCAAACCTTCATTATAATGCTTTTAACCAGCCTGATATTCCCTTTATAGTTTTAACTCCCTAAAAGATAAATTGGGTTATGGTCCAGATAGAATCCCTGCTTATTTTTTGAAAAAATTAAATTCACTCTCCAAACCACTACAGTTTTTATTTAATTCCTCTTTGAAATTACAACAGTTTCCTGCAAAATGGCGTGATAGTTTCATTACCCCCATATTTAAAAATGGTCAGAAAGATGAAATAGTTAACTATCGGCCTGTAGTTGTACTTTTTGCAATACCTAAATTATTAGAATTATTGTTATATAAACCTTTGTCATGGCATTGCAAAAACATTTTGATTGAACAATAGCATGGATTTATGGGAGGTAAGTCTACTAATACAAATTTACTGCTCTACGAACATTATATAATTTCTGCCTCAGAGAGGGGGTGTCAGGTTGACTCAATTTACACTGACTTCTCGAAGGCATTTGACACGGTGAACCATGATTTGCTTTTAAGAAAACTAGTGAAATTCGGGTTTCCAAACTACTTAGTGAAATGGTTAGAAAGTTACCTGCAATCCAGGGTTCAATATGTCAAAGTTAAAAGTTTTACTTCGATTCCAATAAATGTAAGTTCAGGTGTCCCCCAGGGATCTCATTTGGGACCATTACTATTTAATATATTTATTAACGATGTGGCTTCAGGATTTAAATATTCTAAGTTCCTACTATTCGCCGATGACCTGAAATTATTCATGGAAATCTTAAACTTACCTGACTGTCTGAAGTTACAGGATGATTTAAACTATTTTATTAATTGGGCTTTAAATAATGACATGTCTTTAAATCCACGTAAATGTTTTTCAATACTACTGTTTTGGAGAAAGTTAGTGATATCAAGGATCTAGATGTGATCTTCGATAATTCTTTGATATTTGTCCCACACATGAGATCCATCATTAGTAGAGCTCTGAAAACATTGGGATTTGTGACCAGGAACTCTAGGGAATTCTCTGTGCCTACATTCCGAACCCTTTACCTAACACTAGTGGGCAGCATCCTCTTATATGCCTCACCAGTCTGGTCACCTCATTACCGGACTCATATTTTAAATTTAGAAGCAGTTCAAAATAGGTTTCTAAGAACTTGTCAGTGGAGGTTACATATGCCTTATCTTTCTAAGAGGGAGCTTCATAACCATTTAAATTTATTGTCAGTTGAGAAAACGTTAATTAGTAATGATCTTTTATTTCTTTATAGCCTCCTGGAAGGGAATATAGCTTGTCCGGATATGTCGGAGCTAATAAACTTTAGATTAAACAACATAAATATTAGAGAGAAACCATTATTTTCAATTAGCTTCCATCATACGAACTAAGGAAATTAAATTAACAGACACACTGATCTTTTGGGAGTTAGTCGGTTTAGGTTTAAAAATCAGCTGAGGGAGTACTTATCGAGTTAGCTTTTTTGTGATATTTAAGATATTAAGTTTTTTTCTTTTTTGTGTGATACTTTAGGTTAGGTTTAAAATATATAGGTACTGATAATAATTATTTTGTAAAAGGAGATTTTCCGTAAATAAATAAAATAAAAAAAATAACGACCTATGTTGTTATTAACCATCACGTTTACCAAACGTGAACTATGATTTAATAGTTCCTATGATCCATAAAACAGATGCAAATAACCTAAAATTTCAAAGTTGAAGTGAAAACTACCCACTGCAAACATTATTTTTTTTTTAATAAAATACAAAAATTATTAAAAAAAAATATATTAAATATTTTAAATTATACAATATATTTAATAACATGCACAATCTACAAGCATACATAACAATAAATATAAATAATGATTTACTTATAAACAAATAAAAAAACATCAGTACGGATTCTTAGTACGTTTTTCAATAATTATATAGGGAGATTTTATTTATATTTCTTTAGTCGCCTCAACTGTGTCCCCGTGGATCTAAATATAACCCTAAACTCATATTTAAAAATAATTCTCAAAAGTTGTGCTTATTCTGAAATTATTTATTAAAAGCCATAATCAAAATGTTGGTATAACATACAGGATCATTTAAAAATAAAGAAATTATGTCAATTACTCATGTTCTAGTTTTTATTGTTTTATGTTCAAATTATAAATAATAGTCTATAGAGAGACTATAAATAATTTTGTATTATTACTATAAAATTTTCGTGTAAATGATGAAAAATACATTCTAAATTACAGGCCGTTGAAATATGAGTTAGGGAGTTATGGGGAGACAGGTTAAGAAAGACGTCTTCAAAGACAGGGAATTCTTATTTCATGAAATGAACCTAGAGCTTATAGTAATTCAGATATCAAATGTAAAAATAATATTCATATAATACTCCAGTAGGTATTCAAATGCTACATGTACATACAGGGTGTCCGGAAATTCTGTTCAATTGTGAAAATGTTTTCATATGAACCTGGATCCGGATACGCATAGTTTTCAAGCTACAGGTACACCTTTCTTTTTGATATAATTTATTGCCCAAATATAAGTAATAAATCAGTTTTTTTTGCGAAAACGATTTCGATTCAGTGTCGCACATTTTTTTGCCAATAATATTCAGTAAGGTGCCTCTCGTCACGCCACTAGACTTTATAATTATTTTAATCCAATTAAGGCTAAATTCTTTTAACTACAAACAATACTACCAAATTTTAACAAAATCTGGTCAAAGGATATTTATAAAAAAGCGATTTTTAAAAAAGTTTGACACACTATCTTGAAAACTATGAATTTCCGGAACCAAAACTTTTCAAATTATCTTATGAAATTATTCTAATGGTATTTCCGGATATACTGTACATTGACCCTTTACGCTTGAGGCATTTCGATATTAATTCGTGTAACAGACGCAATAAATGGTCATTATTATTCGAGGGTTTTTCCCAAACCAGCCCAATGGTCAGGTACTTCCAAAAAATATTTATGCATGGCTTCTATAAACCGTTTCTGATATTCTTCAGGTGAAATTATGGTAGGTAGTTTTCCCTGTCCACCCAAAATGCCGCTTTTCTTCACCATGGTTTCTAACCTCTTATCCCAAGTAAACGTTCTTATGTAATCTAAAATTGGTATAAAAGCTTCAGAAACAATTTATTTAGGGTCGATCTTTTCACCTTCAGATAAAGTGTCAGGTAATTTTTATCTTCCAAGTAACTTAAAAAGTAATCTTTTCACCTCTGGATAAACTTAACTTCTAAATGATAAATTAACTTATTTATGAAATTTTTGATAAAATACTTCACTGATGGATAAGCAGGTAGGTACATGACCACATAAGGTTAAAAACTACTGGATACCTACCACACATTATTTACTTGAAAAAATAGAAAATTAATTATCTGACAGACAGTAACTCTCAGATAATATATCCGTCAGTTAGTTATCTGGAACTTTATCTGAAGGTGAAAAGACCGACCCTTAAGGAACAATTTACAAACAATCACACAAAGAGTAAAATAAAAGATATAATTATTATTTTCCTCGTACAAAAACAAACATTTACTGCGTTTATGCAACTTGTAATTTATACAGGGTGTTTCCGAACTTGGCGTCCAAATTTGTAGGGCTGGTAGTTCGCATAATTTGAGACCGATTCGCAGATTTAGTTTTTCCAAAATATTTAAAATTAAAATAATTAAAAATTTTAAACAAGTGCGGTACTGCACAGCGACGGTTACGCCTCGACTCGCGCGCGCTTAGAATCGACAAAATTACAAATCGCATCTGTTTTTGAGTTGTAAATCCCGATGAGTAACTGATCAAGCGACCCGCTCTTTGATTTTTTTTATAATGGCTCTATTTTGTTTATTATAATTTTTTTAGAAAAATGAAATATGCCAATCGCTCTTAAATTATGCGAACTACCACCCCTACAAATTTGGACGCCAAGTTCGGAAACACCCTGTATAAGTCACTGGTGTGAACTGTCATTATGTATTTCTTGTGTTATGTCAGAGCTAGGATTCTTATTGTCAGATATTGTGTTGTGTTTTAACCTTGAGCGGTGTTAAATTAGACAGATCAGTGTATTTTTAAAGATAATTAATCAAATTAATTTCAAAGCAACTATAGTACACTTTTAAATGAATACAATCTTAAAAATAATAGAAATAAAATGTAAATTAATACCTAATTTCTGTTTTTATGTTACATACCTATTATTCCCAATACTATCTCTTTATTATCTGGATCTAATCCAACAAGTAACGAATAATCCATAACAGATTGCGTCGATAGGAACTCTGTATCATTTTGTATCGCATTTATCAAAACAGTTTTGGAATGAGGCAGCACATACAACGGGGATTCACAAGTCACTGAAAAAAAAAAACATATTTTTGTAACCTTTTAAAGCTTTATTTAGACACTTTGTTGCCTTCGAGTTAAGAAGACAACTATATAATTTTTAAAGAAATTGGCGATTTTTAAAACTTACTTTTCATCAAATTTTCATCAAGCAAAACAATCTCTTCGCTCTGATTATCAGGAATAACCAGCCTATTCCTCATAGATCCTTTTAAGTCGAATTTTTGCGACACTTTTCTGTTATAAAACAGATTTTCCATAACTAGTATGTTGGATCTGTACGGAACATTGGAATTATTCTTAAATACTATTTGGTATATGCCCAAGATTTTTCCTAAGAGCGTCAGCTGCTTGGTCGTTTGACATTTGCTCATGTAGGCGAAGTAATTGGACGACGATTCCAGAAACAGGTGAACTTCAGATTTTGACATTTCCTTCAGAATAAATCTGTCATCTGAAATAAAATAATCAAATCAATGTACATACATCACTGGTTTGTTAAATATACAATGTTCTATGGGACAAGCGGCATGCCATTTGTGGCCACTATGAAGACTAGAGGTAAGGAGACGAATCGGCATGCTCAAAATATGGTCAAAAAAATCACACGTCAATTGTGCTTTTATAATTAACCACATGGGCGCTGGTACGGTTTACGTAGTTCGAAATACATGGCTTCTTATGGGAATTATACATAATTTTGTCAAAATAATAAAAATAAACTTGTTTACAGCTAAATAAAGCACAGAACATACTGTTGTATTTATTTCTAAATAAGTCTTGCATGTTTTAATTGATAAATGATTTAAATTTATCTATATAAAATACAATTTTGGTATGTATGACCAAATTCGAAAAGGTTTCTTAATTGCTGAAATTTGATAAGTACAATTTTGTGGCAAATTTTTTTTTTGAATTGAACCAATATATAGTTTTAAGAGTAAAATAGAAAAACAGATTTTTTATTGTTGTAATACAAGTATAAAGGGAGATTTGGGAATGTACATGGTATTACCTCATCCTTTAATTTCAGCTGTCCCCTTTTTATTTTGCTAACAGTACCATTAGTTAAAATAGTCTCATCAAATTTTAAAATATCATCTTCTAAAAAGTGTAGGTTGCAAACAGAATCATAACTAGACAGTATTTTATCAGCCCTAGGAATCACATGCTGCCATTGTTCTAAACGTTTACGATCCTATAAAAAATATTTGCAATGACTAAATTGAAGTTCAATAAAGAAAAATAACAGTAGTAACCATAGATATATAACCAAGACAGATAGGATTATTTACAAAATTTTTGAAGAATGAACGGTGGTGTCCGCGGTAGAAACTCAATAATCGGATTGAACATTGATGCCAAGTTTACGTGCTTTTAACTATAGATATATACAGGGTGTCCTTTAAAATGTATCCCAAAATTCTCAGGCAGATTCCTTAACCAAAAAATGGAAAAAAAGTTCCTATAGACCTATGTCCTAAAGTGCCCCCTAAGCGAGCAACAGCCTCTCGAAATCATTTTTTTTATTTTGATTTTTTGAATTTTCTTAAAAATGGAAACAAATAAAAGAACCAAATTTTGGCTGTTAAATATGATCAATAATAGTGACCTTTTGACACCTTCAAAAAGAAATTATTTCGTCAGGGGTGTACTTGGGAATTTTTTGAAAATTTTGATTATTCATAACTTTTTTGTGTTTTTGGTAATGACTTATCCATATTTTTTTTTACATTCTACATTGAAAACTACGTCAAAAAGGAATACTTGTTTGATCTCGATTGGAGCAGCCGTTTCCGAGAAAACATCATCCAAAGATATTCGTCCACTTTAGCTTAATTTTCAATTTTCCTAAATTACCTCGGTGAATCTCTTAAATAAAAATAACTTTTTTAGCTCTCTCTAAATAATTGTAGTTCAAATGTCGTGGTGGGACTATTTTTATTTAATAATAAGAAACGGTTTAAAAAAATATTTATTCTAAAAAAACAAATCAAAAAAAATTAAAGCAGATGCTCAATGTGGCGACCATTGGTTTCCACACACAAGCGCAACCGTCGCATCATAGACTGTCTTACACGAAAAAGTACTTCAGGATTATTCCTAAGAACTTCGCAATGATGAAAAACTCGTTCTTCCAATTCTTCAACTGTTTCAACAGGACTGGAATAAACCAATGATTTTAAATAACCCCAAACAAAAAAATCCATTGGATTTAGATCTGGTGAACGAGGTGGCCAGTTAACAGGACAACCTCTGCCAATTACTCTACCCTCAAATCTTTCGTTAAGGTGCTGTCTAGCTTCAAGGCTGTAATGTGGTGGAGCTCCATCATGCATAAACCACATGTTATGTCTGATTTGAATCGGAATATTATCAAGAAGCTCATGTAAGTTATTTTCCAAAAAAAGCCTGTATGCTGCTCCATTTAACCTATTCGGCAAAACAAATGGTCCAATAAGGTAATTATCAATAACTCCAGCCCAGACGTTTATTGAAAATTTATCCTGGTGGTGACGTTCAACAACCGCGTGAGGGTTATCTTCAGCCCATTCATGCATATTTCGAAAATTTATTATACCATCTCTAGTGAAACCAGCTTCATCGGTAAATAGCACTTTATTAAGAAACATTGCATCTTGATTACATCTTCCAAGAAACCATTCAGAAAAGATAACTCGCGGCTCATAATCAGTAGCTTTAAGTGCCTGAACTTTTTGAATGTGGTAAGGGTACAATTGTTGTTCACGCAAAACTTTCCATACCGTGTTACGTCCGACTCCCACTTCTGAAATTAAATGAGAGAATCTGTGTAGTGAATAGTTAAGAAAGAGAATCCATTGATTTGGGAAATCAGATTTTTTCTGCATAACGCAACTCTTTTCGATACGAAAAGTCGTGAAATGTAAGAGAAGCAATAACAAGTAAAAAAACTAGTTTTATACGATAAGGTACGGGGTAGCTAAAATAATAAATAAGTAATTACTTACCATTTGCTATTTTTCTGGTACTTGTCGATGGGGTTTCAGCTACCCTATCCAAAATTGCTTCTTCCAAAGCAGGAGTTCTCACATAATTTTGTCTTCCACTGTTACTAGAGTTTTTCTTAAATGTACCAGTTTCCCGAAGTCTATCGTAAATTCTAGAAAACGTCTTAGCGCATGGAAGATGCCTATTTGGAAAGCGCTCCTGATAAAGTCTGCGAGCTTCATTGGCATTTCCAGAAGCGAGTCCAAAACATAAGTGCATGTCCGTCATTTCGCCGAATGTGTAATCATTATTGTAGTTATTGTGAGCCATTTTAAACAAAATAATAACAATACAACGAATCGCACCAGAACACTTTTAGAAATAATGTTTAACTGAAGAAACATTTTTATCAGTGAGCGAAAAAAATTATCCATGAAACACAAAAACGCCAAAAAAATACATATTTTTACTTTTTTATTCTAAACAGCTAAATACAAACCTTATGGTCTTCATAATAAATAAATGGGAACTAAATTTTTAAATTTTATTTAGAGAGCTAAAAATAGTATACAGGGTGATTGATTAGTGTGAGGAAGCTCTGTAGATCTGTTATAATAAAAGTAGGCAGCTTTAAGCTTCACATTTTAAAATTAGTTACGATGTGACAGGGTGTTTCATAAGGCCGTGCCAAATCAAAGTTATGTTTTTTAAATGGAACACCCTGTATATTTTTATATTTTTAGAATCTGCTCCATAATCTGATTTCAATGATATATCACACTTGTTATCTAATATGAATAGTAAAGGATCTACAGCTACTCAAAAATCACATTTTTTCAAATTCAGGTGGCTGTTGTAGCCAAACAGTTGGAAATCGAGGAAAACGGCTTACAGTCCCTATCCTAACTTTTTAAGGTCTATTCAGTGACATAAAATACATATTATTTGATACAGGGTGATCAAAAATCCAAAATCACATCCGATTTTTGATCACCCTGTATCAACTAATATTTTTTGCCACTGAATAGACCTTCAAAAGTATGGATAGGGACATGTAAGCCGTGTTCCTCGATTTCCAACTTTTTGGCTACAACAGCCAAAATTGAAAATTAACCTAAACTGCACGAATATCTTTGGATGATGTTTTCTCGGAAACGGCTGCTCCAATCGAGATCAAACAAGTATTCCTTTTTGACGTAGTTTTCAATGTAGAATGTAAAAAAAATATGGATAAGTCATTACCAAAAACACAAAAAAGTTATGAATAATCAAAATTTTCAAAAAATTCCCAAGTACACCCCTGACGAAATAATTTCTTTTTGAAGGTGTCAAAAGGTCACTATTATTGATCATATTTAACAGCCAAAATTTGGTTCTTTTATTTGTTTCCATTTTTAAGAAAATTCAAAAAATCAAAATAAAAAAAAAATGATTTCGAGAGGCTGTTGCTCGCTTAGGGGGCACTTTAGGACATAGGTCTATAGGAACTTTTTTTCCATTTTTTGGTTAAGGAATCTGCCTGAGAATTTTGGGACACATTTTAAAGGACACCCTGTATAACCAATACAGATTACACAATTTCTGAAGTCAACGCGGATGATCCTCGACAGAAATACAATATTTGGATAAAATTAAAATATTGGTGCCAAGTTTGCGATGTTTTTAACTGTAGTAATGTTATTGCGTTTGCTTGAATTAAGGTTAGATCTTTAAATTGTCAAAAAAAAAAATAATGTCTGACAACAGCGGAAGTTGAGTAGACCGCAATTGTGGAGGGTCGTATATTGTTTCATTCATAAAAATTCCTTCGATACAGTACTAGTCCAGGAGCCAGTGAATTTTTTCGTACTTGTTTTCCCGGTCCGTGTATATTTAAATAATCTATTCCCGGTGAACTGTATATTTAAAATGGAACGCCAATCTATTAACAAAAGTAAGCCCAGATTTAATTCGCGCATTACGTCACATCGATACAAGTGAGATTGTTTACAAAGTGCCTTTGTAGGCCTATTTTGCCATTTCATGTATTTGTTTTTAAATCATGTTAAATTACTATTTTTGAAACTCAACAAGGAGAAAATCCAATTAACTCTTCCGTTGTGTATATATATAAGATAAATTAACTGAAGTTTTATTAGTAAAGTATTAATACTAAAATTTTAATGTAATTTACAGAAAATAGCTAGGTATGTATTTGTTTTTAAATAATTTGATAATTTATGAAAAAAGGGAGTAAAAGTGGAATGACCAGTGGCCAGTAGGTCAGTCAATACAAAGTATCATATATTTCTATTATAACATAACTAAAATACCTACATCTTTTAATCATAAGGACATAAGTTAAAAACCATTTTAATATATGCATTAGAATGAAGTAATAATAACTTAAAGAGACGAGGTCTTAAAGTAATAGCTGGTACAGCATGTTTTTTAAACGTTTCCTCATTGCTGCTAGAATGAAATCACTTACTATGAAATGTGCTCTAAAAACGGCATTTATAGCAGTCAGTGTTCAGTCTTAGGATCTCTTCCTAAAGCCCTCATCCAAGCTGCATACATATTAAAAAATAATTTAAAAAAAACATATTATATACCTATATAGCTTTCGGTTCTGGGTGCCCTAAAAGAGGACACTTAAAAAATAACTACAAATAACTTACCTGAAAAATGAAGGCGTCTAACTTTACACCAAAAAAACCATACACTTTTTCCCATTGTTGCAAGCACCCGATGACGATTAGGTAGATATCAACTAGAAGCATGTACTTAATGGTTATAAAGCTTATTTTAACACAAAAAGAATAAAGTACTAGTCGAAAAGCAGCAATCAAATATAAATAGACCACAATATTAAAATTCAAATTAAAAACTATATAAAAGACAAATACTCTAAAAGCGCAAAATATCAGAACCAAATAAAATGAATAACCATAATAACCTAAAAATCACACTAAAATTGCAAAAACTATTACTGTAAAATCATGAGATTACATCAATAATGCATATGCGTCGGAGTATCGCAAATGTCAAAAGTACAGGGTTTCCATGAAAATTTAGCTATGTTTTTAGCAGTATTATAGAACCATTTCTACCACGCGCATCCAACGATATTGGCGTTCCACAGTTCACTGTATTTTCCTCACACCTCTAGTATAAATGATTTGACATAACGAAACTAACAATAATTATAATTAATGTAGAGTAATAAGTGATTCGTGAATTCTAAATAAAACAATTATTATATAAAAGTGTAAAAGGAAATGTAATTTATTTCCCTATTTTCTTCTGTAATATCTTCAATTATTATGTTTAATTTCTATAAATAAACCAACTGGTTAGGTGAAACATTGTGATATAAGATTTTATTTGTGTCCTATGCGTACACTTTAATATACAAAACACCTGGAACATTCTTTAAATAATTGTGGTCGTAGAAATAATTGTGTACATAACTCGTTTGAAAGTGTATTTTATGCACTTGCCAAATATATTATCCATACAGATTAATCAGACTATTTTTTTACTTAACTTCAGTACATCTCTTACTACTAAAACTATTTTTATCAATGGAAAAAAAGGGCAGTGTTCTCGTATGTTTTGACGCATTTTCGGCCTCAGTCCATCGGATCCCCCCTCTAAATATATATGAATTTTGCTTAGAATTGCTAATCCTACAATTCTCTATTCGTGCTTGCTGACTGGGAAAATAAATACCGAAAATCGTCACTGTCTCCTGGACTATACAATAGATGATGATGAGAACTTCACAACAAATACACTTTTATGAATGGCTAGTTGGGGATGGGGTAGTAACTCTTCATCTAAAATCAAAAAACATAAAAAAAGCAAATTTTCCTTTCTAGTTAGTTAAATTTAATGTGTAATTATTGTTGTTTGTAAGTCAGGATTTAAGACTTTATTATTTTTTATTATAAAATTTTGTAATTAAATAAACTACACTCCGTAAGATACGGGTTGTGACTATTTTACAATAAATATATATTATTTAGAAATAAATACATTATTTTACTTACACTAGGAGCTTTAAAAAGACTTGGATTGTTATCTCCTTGTGTTTTCTTTAATTTTATATCGGATTTATATCCCGTTTTTCAACCCGAAACGAAGAAATCCTGCTTTTCCGTTTTTTGTTACTCATTGTTACTTGTAGTCAGGTTCTTTATTTCAGCTTATTTTTATTCTTTTCACTAAATTTTACAAAAATCACTTTAATTCCCATTGACTTGCATAGAAAATAGACGTCGTTATTTTGCCACCCGCCAACTACAGTAGTTTTTTGGAACTCCATAAAAATAGGGACGGAAATTTAAAATTTGACCAAGGCCGATTCGCCTCCTTATATCTAGTCTTCATAGTGGCCACTGTCGTATTATTGTGTTTCACCTTTGAGCGAGCTCAGGTTAAGTTGATTTTTAGAAGTGGACTCGTTTTACACTTTTCACTGCAAATCTAACTTTCAAATAATTTTATTAAATAATTAAAATTATTTGCAAATTCATATTCAAAATATTAATATTAATGTTACTGAACAACGCATTCACAATATTATTGCAAAGGGTATTGTCAAATTCGTACCCAGAAAACGTATTAGAAACAGCAAATATCCTGTTTAAAGCAGTAGACAGAATTTTAAAACAGTAGATTAAAGGTAATTACCAATTTATGAAATAAATTAAACGAAAACCAAAAACGTACCAACTGTTTTTGAAAAGTTCGAACCAGATTTTCCTCCTCTGGCATTCCATTGTACGGATCTAGACAGCGATCTAATGTATCCTTCCTCGGCCATCGGTAATACGGCTGCTCGAAGAGCTGCAAATTTTTCCGCCAAGTACACTCGACAGAAAAAGTTGCTGTTCCCATCTTGAAATTGTACCTCGACGTGCGCTTTCCTCACCTTTTTCGCATCGTCTTGTAGATCCGTAGAATTTGAGGATTGCTCAATGCTAAAAATCAAGTTGATTAACAAAACATTTATTAAAGCGACAAAGGACATGTGTATAAAAACAGTATGTGAAAACCAAAAGTTAAATGGATTGTTTTCCGAATTTAAAATGTAATTTTCAGCCAAAGTAAAGATAAAAGTCTAAGTTAGGTCGTGTTACTATTGGATAAATTTATTAGTTTCAATAAAAAACAACCATTAAAATATTATATTAAAATATTTTATCCTGGATATCAAACAAATGTAAATAATAAATAGAGTAAGCCGAGTAATTTTCTTTAAAATGCCATATTAAATCGCATAAAAGTTAATTTTGGACAAAACAATGGTTGCTATATCAACTCATTTTTTCTTAGTTGCTTCTTCATACTATAATGAAGATGGTGCCGGAGAACACTAGAAAAATATGTAGACTTTTGAAAGATATAAAAACCAAGAGAACCTATCGTTGACTTATACAGGATGAATCCTAAGTTTCCTGTTACTTATTGATGTTTTTCAATGACAAAGTGATACCAAAGTGTAGGAAATCGAAATAGATTTTTGTAAAAAAAAAATAATGTATTGTATGAAACAGTAAAATAAAAGTATTGAAAGTATACCTAATCCAACAAAATAAGCTGTAGAGTTATAAAACTCTCTCAGCCACAGTTTACAAAATGAATGTATGTTTAATTTAGTAAAATCCCGGCAGTCGATGAAAAATTTGATTTTTGTCCTAGTCTAATGTATCGCTTCGTCGATCGTAAATCTGTTTGAAATCTCCATCAATACCTAATAGGTCGAAATTTACAATTAATATTTCTGTAATTGTCTCCACTAATTTTACCTCCAGCCAATAGATACCTGCACCTCCCAAAGTAAATCTGATGAATACCCCGTCCTTAATTGATCAACACTTACTTTGTTTCAGACGAAACTGTCAAAGCAGACGGAGATCCCACGTTGGCATCTTTAGTTTTTAAAAAACCTAAAATATTCTTCTTCTCATCCTCGGTTTTTTCTTTTTCGCTATTACTCCTTCTTTTGAGCAAGGGGCTACCGGATAGGTCGGTTTGGTTTTTTTTGGTGGTCAATTCGTCCAAAAGCTTCTTGTATTCGTTGGAACAAAGAGTGTAAGCCACAATGGAGCTGGGTTCGTTCTCTAGCACCACCAATGGAATCGACGAATCGGATAGGTAGTGTTCGTTGGTGGAAAACGGCGCCTTTAAAAATAAATAGTGTGTACAGGGTGGCTACTATTACCTTAAAAAAATGGCAACGGACCCTGATGGTAATGGATGACGTTTAAAAAAATTCGCTATTCGCTCTGTGCGTGACAGCAGCACCAACTAATGTGTGAACTAACGGACGATATTTGCGTATACTGACAATACAATTTTTAATAGAATTCGTAATGAAAAAATTCATGTTGGGTTTTTGCTGCGCGGCTTCGTGCGTAAACTTTTTCACTTCGTGGTTAATGGGTTACTTACAACTCTTGTTACGTAATATAAATATACTTTACTGCTCGCATTTATTAAAGGATTATTGTTTGACATAAATTGACATTATTGGTTTTTATAACCAAAACATCACTAATTTGAACTTCTACCATGCAAGCAAATGACTTAAAAATATAAAAACTTACCGGTATGAAACACGAATTATTGGATGATTGTAGAAGATTGGATAAAATATTCTTCACAGTCTTTTTATCGGATTCTTTTTTACTATCCGTTGAATCTTCCACTTGTGAAATAACGTTATCAGACTGCGACCTGTGATAGCTCTTGGGAGATGAAGATGTGCAAGATTCGTCTAAAAATAACGTTTAAATTCTACTGTGTATTTAAAATACATTTGTATTTACTTACTATCACTGTTATCGATGCTTCCGATTTTTTTCGAATTGAAACTATTTGCATGGTTTTCTTCGAACACGATGCTGGTATCTTGATGTTCGGCGCTTTCCTCGGAATTATTATCGACCGGTTTTTCCTTCTTTTTATCGCCATCTTTTTTCCTATTGATAAGTTCGTTTAGACGAACGTTCCATCCGTCCACGATGTCGACTAGGTTCTTTTTTAACCTAATCAGGGAATCGGATATCTTCCAATAGGCTAAATGCAGTTCTAAAAACATAAAGAAACGAAGTATTTATGAGAACATCATCAAAGGAATGTTACAATAAGCAAAATACGCATTTCTAGAAGTAAAACAATTTAACAAGCTATACAGAGTGTTACTGAAATAAATACTCGCTCGTAAAACGAGCAGTACTACAAATTTTTCTTCTCGCCATAATTTTGTTACGCTATATATTTTTTTCGCTACAGTGGTGTAACGTGTGAACTATTTTCTCTTTTGAGGACATAAAATCTTAGGCTATCCGGATCATTTTCAATATTTCTAAGTTCCTCTGTAATTGCGTGATAACAGTTTAAACATAATCGTATAGGCTGTTGCAATTTATAATAGAAAATGGTCTCACACATGAAGAAAGGTTGTGTATTAGCCGGAACAGGGACGGTGCTCCCAAATGGACTTTAAAAATGTAGGTTTTCTGTTTGGGGAACAAACATGAAAATATTAATATTTCGTAAGAATGTTTGTCAGATTATATTGTGCTATGTAAAAGGTTAATGACCATGAGATATCGGAAAAAAATAATTGATGAATTGAAATTTAGTATTTGAAATCTCTCAATAATCCTAAAGGTTTGATAAATAATTATTGTATTAATAAAATATTAATTGTCTTCCTCCGAAGCCCTAAAAGAGACTGTTTTTTTTTTTGACAAAAGTACCACAGTCAACTGTATATAAAATTTTACACGAAGGGGCACCACCTAGAGAGGTGCGAAAAGATTCTGGTTCATCTTGTTCCATTCCTCAGTTTCTTTTAGAACCGATTATGGAAACAATTTATAAATGTTCTCTGAAAATAATTTGCCTACTTTGAATACATTATTTTTACGTCTAAAACAAAAAACGTTAATATAAGACTGCCATAAAACGACATTATGGACACTTTTAAAATCCAACGGCTTTAAATTTAAAACCATTAATAAAAGACAAACAATTATGGAATCCAGCGGTTAGTTAAATGGAGAATATAATATGTCGATTTAATTACAACGTATTGACGAGAGGGCAGAAACATTCATGTTTTAGATAAAACCTGGTTCGATACTCATAAAAAAATGTTGGACTGATGGAAGTTTAAAATGTAATGTAGACACTCCTCCATCTCGAGGAAAAAAAATATGTATCTTACAGTGTGCTGGAGAATCAGGTTGGATAGAAGGAGCTCTCTTGCTGTCTGTAAAGGATGTACGGGATAGTAGTTTGGACTACCACCAGGACATAGAAAGTATTCTTTTTGAAAAATGGTTTAGAGTATTGTATTATATTTATGATTTACCCTATATCATTGTAATCTTAAAGGATAAATAAATAAATATTATTATTACATACCTTTTTCATCAAACGATTTATGTTCTATGGTAGGAGAAGTGAGTTTCAGTTGCACTTCTTCGACTCTCTGCTTAAACTGAGTTTGTTCCTTCGATATGATTTGTTTTAAACTTGCGGTATTTTCGGTTTCTTCCGGTTTCATTTTGTCTTGTATCGCAGAAAATATATCGTGTCCTTTTTGCGCCATATTTTTTATTTCGTCGATAAGTTGATGTTGAAGTTTGGAATTGTCGTATTTTATCTCTATTAATGGTGGTGGTAGGGATATTTCCCAAATTGTTATTTGACTATATCTAAAAAATAATCATTTAAAAAAATTGTGGTAAAACATTTATGTTTATAAATTTTACTACTTTACAAATCATTTAAAACAAAGATGATTGTCTACTAAAATTCTATTGTAAAAAAGTGGTGGCCCAAAGCAGCAGCGGTTTCGCCCTTTGCCACGTCTTGAATATTTTAATAATAATACCATCCCTATACTGAGTGAATCCCTGAGGCTCCTAAAAACCTGAGCGGGGTGGGCGGCGCATTATCAATATCCGAATTATTAAATTAAAACTTACTTGAACGTAGCTACGTAATTCTTGTAACCGAAATACTGATAATGATCGTGATGCAGACTATGTTCGCAAGACGACTGCCCCCGTCTGCTATAAAAATCAGCATAGAACTTCAACTCCAAATACTTAGCGAACGGATACGACCAAGTGTCAGCGGACATCGGTACGATAGGCGACACTTTTTGGCATTTCGTGCACCACGTCCACATGACGATCTGCTCTTCGGAAAATTCATTATCGAAATGGTTAAGGCAAATTGTTACGCAACCGTTGTTGTGAACAAATCGTCTTACGTGGCTAACCATTGGCGTATCGCAGGATTTCGAGGGGCATTCGTAAGTCGGTCGAAAACAGTAGCGTTCTAGGAAACATCCTAGCGGAATGTCGTTGCGACCGTAGAAGTCCATGTATACGATCCTGAAATGTATTTAAAAATCTATTTTCAATAGAGGATAGCATGGACACAGTTTAACATAATACGAGGCGAACTTTGAGGCCACACCTGGTAATGTACAAATATCGTATTAGTAGGTAGTATAAAAACTCTTACCATGGATTAACGCAAAAAGCCGGCGCGTTATTCGATTCGGTGCTGTAGCTGCAAAACAGCACCGCCAATCTCTGATGATTGACGGGATCGAGCACATCTTTGGCGTTAGTTTCAGTCTTTTCGGAAAGTTTTTCGGATTTTTTTTCCACACAAATATTCTCCTTTTTTTCGTATCTACCGCCACAGGCACGAAAATTGGCGACCAGATTCTGAACGTTCGGATCTTCCGCGTTTTTCGTTAGTTTCGTAATTAGAAACGGGTGAAGATGCTTAGTCTAAAACGTATTTAGTTATGGTGTATATGGAAGCAGTAGTAAACAAATGAAACAAATAAATGAAATGGGATATGTGTTTCATTAAACTAAAGAAGTAAAATTGAAGGAATACAATACTGTTAAAAAAACTACAGAGGCGTTATCGCAGAATCCAAATTTTGACTTGTTTACCTAGTAACAATCACCTCAGGAGTGCGCAACGATTGATATTTCATAGACGTTTGCCCGTGCCGTAGAAGAGGTAAGTTGCCATCTTTTTATTTGTCTTCGAAGTTTGAGGTTGTGTTTGGAAGAGTTTATTTGTAGAATATTTGCCATTTTTGAGTATTTTAAGATGCTAATTTGTTTATGTTAATGTTGTATGTGTAAAGAAATGCGAATATTAATGAATTAAAAAAATAACACCTTTTTGACGTTGCTGCAGACTTTGTTTACTATAAAAACAAGCTCCATTTTAAAAATTGGCCACAGAAGTTACAGCAGTATGAGTGTAAAATGAAGGTGTTAGTGAAGATCACGTACTACTCGAAAAATGTATTTAAAGGAATTATAGTGGTCAAGATATAGCAAAAGACTTTAACAAGAGTTTATTACCAAAATCTGTTTAGAAATGCATTGCGTTATTGATGTCTCTATTACTCATGCACAAATTTTACTTCCGCTTAGAATCAACAAAATTTATTAAGATGTTTCCTATATACCCTGAGTTCCATTTATATATCCGCAAATGTCATTTTGTTTTTGTCTTTGAAAGTATTGGTAAGGGAGCCAGTGACACCTTCAGGTGTTTTATTTGCGAAAGACTAAATTACAAATATTTCGTTCATTCTTACCATGCAGAACATGGAAATAGTTTGCTGTGCAGAGATGGGGCCTTCAACAATGACGTTTAAAAAATGCCTGTGTAGAAAATGCTTTAATAGAAGCGTAAACTTGAAGCTTGAAGATATTATTTATATCAAAAGGAGAAAAAAAGTGTGCTGCCACCTTCTTGAAATTCGACTCATAGTACCTTCTTGGTTGCTGACAGGGCATTTCACCGCTAGATCGATTGCAACAAAGTATTCATTTATAATTTAGCCTTGTGTAAATGTGTACCAAAAAAGTTACTATATAGAATCGATGAGAGTTGTTTAAAGTAACGATGACATGGGGTAATTGTCGTTTGTCGTAGCCAACCTAACATTTGTAAGGCAAGGATAAGGCAGAGATAGCAAAAAGTGATTGGAAAATTACTAGATTCAAAAGTCCCGCTCTTTTTTCGCGCATGAGTAATGTGAAATTGTCGTATAATGGGAAAAGTGGGTTGTACCTAATATAAGGATCAAAAATTATTTTTGTAAAAATAAAATAATTCAATTTTAAAAAATTATACAGGTCTTATTTAATGTTTTTGTCTTTGACTTTTGGCCTTTCTGATATCAAATTTGAAACAGAAAGGTGTTCTTGTGATATACTTACATTTTGAGTCGAAATTCCCTGGTCAACTTTCGATTCCTCCAAATTCCTCCACTTACTTTTGGCCTGGTTTCCGAATTGCATGCTAAAGTAAAGATCATCTGGGAAGAACTGTCTCAACTTGCACTTCTTCCCGAGTTCCGTTTCTAAATACGGTGGCGGAATGACGATATACGGCGATATGCACAAAATCGTATCATCCAAATGCTTCTTGAAACTGTTGGAAAACGGCAATTGCGCGACCGCCAGCGTTTGATTTGAGATTTTCGGTTCAAAATCAACGCTAGATGAATGCAGAGGATCGGTAAAATCTTCGACTAGAGTTTTCTTTTCGCTCAGCTGTTCTTCTCTGCTGAACCGTTTCATGGCAGGTCTCTCGGTCTTCTTAACGCCTTCCTAAACAGTGAAATTTGTAAAAAAAAACGTCTTACAGTAGTCTATCATGTTAAAATTTTTGACAGTTTGACACATTAATAATATAGGTTTATGGGTATAGAGATTGTTTAACCTGGCTAAAACACAATCGTTCTGTTGGTTAATTAGTGATAGTTCGTCGTATATTTTCTATAGTCTAGAGAAGAAAGGAGTGCAGTAATTTAGTTTGCAGAACGTAGTACAGGTTAAAGAGGTAGACATTTTATTTATACCCCTCCTTCAATGTTTATTTGTACTTAAAATGAAAATTTTAATACATCTTATCGACCTAATAAAAGTTTTCGTTTAGATTTAATTATGTTTCCATGGTTTTTAATCTAATAAACCTTTTCTTTTGACAGATAAGTCAGACTTTATTTATTCGTAGCCGTTGATTGGGAATTTTGAATTAGTATATATTATAATTTTACAGATATATAAGAATGGCGGGTGCATTAGAAAAAATTGCAAGCCCAAGTACGCGTAAACGACCTAGTGGACATAAAGTATTATCTTTAGAAAAAAAAAAAAAAATATATATATATATATCGTACTTAATGAATTTGCTACTCTTCGAAAAGACTTTGTTTCACTTTCTGTGGATAAAATAGCCACTAAATGTGAGACCTATACCGGAGTATCTAAGCAGACAGTGTATAACATTGTTAAAGAAGATACAGATATAGGAAAAATCCCCCAGGAAGAAACAAGACCTTTACTCCTTTATTGAAACTTGGGTAAAGAATGTAATAAGGCAAATGGTACATTCTTTTTTCTGTCGAAATAAAATTCCTACACTTAAAAAATTACACTAAGATATAGACAATAGCCCCTCTCCTCCAATTGTATCATATTTTCATCTGCAAAAAATAATACATAAATTAAATTTTCGTTACATAAAACGTGACAGAAACAGCTTTTTAACAGAGAAAGACGCAAGGAATCAGCATAAACAGGTATTTTATTTAGATGAAACATGGGTTAATGCTAGACATACAGTAACAAAAATTTGGCAAGATACGTCCATCAAAACTAAAAAACAAGCCTTTATGGAAGGGGTCTCTTATGGATTAAAAAATCCAACAGGGAATGGAAAATATTTAATAATAACCCACATTGTAAGCCACGATGAATTTTTGCCAAATGGTTTATTAATGTTTGAGTCAAACAAAACAAAAGACTACCATGTTTGAAAATTGGTTTTAGAACATAATAAAAAAAATTCCAGCCAACTCCGTTATTGCATCCTATCACAGTCGATCAAAGGAACCACTAACTACAACAAGATGGATAAAAGAAGATATTTCAAAATGACTTCATTCTAAAAATATTAGTTCTCCTAAATCCTTGAAGGCAGAATTACTTGTAATAGCAAGGCAACATAAAATCAAATTCAAAAAATATAGACGAGATGGCCCGAGAAAAAGGAATTTCAATTCTCATATTGCTTCTTTACCACGTATAGTTAAATCCCATTGAACTGATCTGTTCACAATTAAAAGGTTATGTTTCTCGAAACAATACAACATTTAAATAAATTACCTGATGTGCGAAATTTGTTTTTGAAGGCAATTTCAGATGTAAATGGAGAACATTGGAGAAAATGCATTGATCATGTTAAAAATGTGGAAAATTTATTTTGGAAAGTAGATATAGCAATGGAAAACTTAATAGACCCTATAATAATAAACCTCAGAAAAGACAATGATAATGATACCAGTAGTTATAGTGAAGACAGTGACTTTTAAAAATAGTTCTTTTAAGCTATTGCATAGCTTTTATGGCGGGCTTTGAGCGCGGCGACACAATCAAGAAATTCCGTAACGAAAAAAACCTAACACCCCCCACTCCGACCGGCACAGCGGAGCGGCGTTAAACAATATTAACTTCTCATTTATTCAATAAAAGAAATTCGAAAAATCAAAAAATCAAAAAACCGAAAAATCGAAAAACCGAAAAATCTAAAAATCAAAAAACCGAAAAATCTAAAAAGAAATTCTGTAACGAAAATAAACCTAACACCCCCACTCCGATCGACACAGCGGTGCGGCGTTGAAAGCCGTGCATCGTCTAACATCGTTTCAGTTCGGAAGACTTCGGCACGGTGTTTGTGTGCGTGCGACTAGACGTATGCGTGTAGACTAGCTGCTAACTGCTCATAACTGATTCTATCTCTTTTAGACACAATTTCGGAAAAATTGAATTTGAAAATGAATAATGATCCACAAGAATCCACAACAAAATATGGGACCACCATTGACGCGGTATTTTCCAGATATTTAGAGGATATCAAGTCTCAAACTTATGTTTCTTATTTCAGTTACCATAAACCTATAGTTTCAATGATAAAAATTCCTGAATAACCTACATGTATTGTAAGATAATAAAAATATTTTAAACAATACTAACTTCTCATTTATTCAATAAAAGAAAAAAAATTGTTTTCTTATCGGTCACCACGCTCAAAAAGTGTGACTTGAATTAATATCAAAGAAAAAAAATACTGCATAAATAAAATAAATAAATAAATAATTATAATTGCATAAGTTGATAAAAAATGCTATGCAATAGCTTTACCGCGGCAGTCCCCGAGTGCCACACGTATTTTTTTTTAATCTTTGATTTTAGGTACTGAAATGTTACTTTTAATGCCGAGATTAAAAAAAGTTTAATCCCATTAACAACATATAATCATCCTTGTTATTTATTGGTTTAATTTAATTCGTTCAATGAAGTGCAACAATTTTTTTAGTAGGTTTATTTTTATTTTTTGTATATATAACTTTTTTTCATTTAAAATTTAATCTAAGAAGTGGGTAACCATACTGTAGAATCTTATTTTGCAAAGTGCGGCTATGGAATGTGACGTTATATTCCCACTTTTACGGCACTCATATTTTATCCAGACGATAGGCCTAGACAGATAACGATACTCATTGGTTGAAACTTCCAATACTTAAAAATTCCTATAGAGGTATTTGATTCCAAAATAAATAAAATATTTCAGATACTTTTATATCTCGACTATGAAGACTAAAAAGGAGTGCAATCGACAATGGCCAAATTTCAAATTTCTATCCTCGTTTTTCCGAGGTTCGTCAAATGGGCTGCAGGTGGCAACATGAGTGTGAAAAACATCAAAGAGAATTTGCTTCGTTCCCAGACGTAAAACTAGATATTTTACAGATATAGGGGTCTATTCTGTAAAACATCCGTTAAAATTTAGAGGCCTTTAAAAATTTATCTTTTAGCGGCCCGTTAATTTTTTTAACCAAAAATTGTATTCTGTATACATAAATTTTAGGAGCCTGTTAAAAATTATTTATTTTAACGGAGTCCCTTAAAAATGACAGGAGAACACAACATTGCATGTAAGATTCATTTGAACTAATTTTGAAAGATTAAAAAAATAAATTTGAAAACATAACCTTACAAACATTATAAATAAAAAATGTCTGGCGCACCAAGAACTACTAAAAACCAAAAAGAGTGGATGATAAACTTCTTAGAACAGCAAAATTTGCTTCACGGTGGGAAAATAAACCTAGTAGATACAACGAAATAAAAAAAAAAGTTTGGGAAAACGAATTAAAAAAAAATAAGGCCCAGACATCTTCTAGGAAAATTAAATTTGTCGTGAAATCTGTTTATTTTGTTATTTCTTTTATTTTCCAAGCAAAACGATCCCTGACCTGCAGATAGTTGGTATCCTTATCCATCCTTCTGTTCCAAAAAAAATGAGTTTGCAAGTACTTTTAAATATGCTGGTATTGCCGTATTTCTTCGAGATGGCCTCATGTGTGGTTATATGTACGAGTATAATATTAACTATAGTTCTATCTACAACTATAAAAACCGAAAAATATTTATACATTTTGTAACAGATGGATCGCTAAAGTCCCTATAATTGGCCTTTGATGTAATTGGTTAAGGGGATGAGAAGTACAGTTTTGTGAAAAACTTCAAAACAATAGAGCTGGGCTGCAAGAAAGAATGGAGCCAAGAATCCATCATGCTTGCAACCGAAAGACATGCTATTCAGTGGTATATGGACTGTTCTAAAACCATAGAAGGAACTGGAATAGGAGTGTATGGGCCGAGAACCAAGCACTCCGAAAGCTTGGGAAAATACCCAAACATCTTCCAGGCGGAAATTCACCCCATCGAGAAGTGTATCCAGTTTAACATCGAGAAAAACTATCATAGACAAGAGACTATCATCATGTCCGATAGTAAAGCAGCCATGAAATCGCTGAGCTCTTACGTAATCAGCTCAAAAATGATCTGGAGATGCCTAGAACAATTGAATGAGCTAGGCAAGAAAAATAGAATTACTCTCACTTGTGTCCCGGGACATAACAGGGTACAGGGTAACAAGATTGCAGATTGTCTTGCTAGGAAAGGGGCTCAAACACCCTTTGTAGAACCTGAGCCGTTCTGCGGTATCAGCAGTAACATAATATTAGGAGAGATTAAAAAAGAATTGGGCAGTAGAAGAATCGATAATTGGAACAATCTCTTGGGGCTGAGACAGGCTAAGATACTTCTGGGTGAATATAATCAGAAAAGATCGGAAGCCTGCATCTGCCTGAACAAGAACAGGCTACGTATTATAACAGGGATCCTTACCGGGCATTGAAACTGAGAGAAGTAGAAGATAGTGAGTGCAGATTCTGTGAATCCAAGGGCACTATATCTAGGAGGATATCAAATAGAAGAGGGAAATTTACCTAACTTGAAGCCACTCCAAATCCTACACTTCCTTGAGAAAATAGGATTGAAAGGGTCGTTATAGGCATTGAGACATTTCCTTGGCGCATTACCCACAGAAGGGGAGCACAATAGATCTTTTAGGTCGCAGTGTATTAATATCACATTCCGAACATAACATAAGGGGGTGAGCGTAATACACGAATAGGTAGGTTCAAATCCTGCAAAGGAGATATTTTTTTCAAGCTTTCAAAAATGTGTTTTTCCCTTTCAGGAGTTCATAAATAATTTGCAGTATTTGATAGGGGTAATTTTGAGATTTTATTCAGCGATTTCCAAAAATATTAAAATAAGTAAGACTATTGTTTCCGTATGTTATGTACACTTTTATTTTTTTTTGTGGAACAAATACGTTTTATTAATATTATTATAATGGAGATTATATCAAAAAATAACGTAATTGTTGAAATATTCTTATTACAAATAAATATATAAGGAACGGAGCATGTACAATACAATTTAATAATTACCGAAATAATTGTTTTGGAATCAGAATCAACGGGCGAATTTTCCCTGCTGTCTTCTAAGAATTCTTTCGCATTGGGTGGCATAGCGAATTCGTCCATCAGAAATGATTTTTCCAGCCTCCAACTGTAGAACGTAAATAACATCAATATAGACACATTTTTTAGTTTAGACAATTCAGTTTCAGACGCTCCTCTTAATAGTATCGTGGCTCCTAGATGAGGACAGGGCAGGCCTTCGAAAAACATTAACGTTTTCGTTTGATCTGAAATTGACAACGTTACCGGTAAATTACAAAATTTCTAAAAATATGGGATAATTTTCATATTTCCCGACCTTTAATCTAAGAGCACTATAACTTAAAAGATGTAAAATTTTAACCCTCACCTTTATCTATCTTAAAACTTTTCAAATAAAACCTTTTGCAGGTGCCCAATTTTGGCCGGCCAATGTGGGCGTCGACGGCAGACACAATGTCCGCTTGCGTGCATCTCGACAATCGTTCAAGCACACTCTGTTTAACATTGTGCACCAAAGTGACGTTGTGTTGCCTTAACATATCTTGAGCCAGCCTAGAAATGTTTTTTTGCACCAACACGACGTTCGGTCGAAGCGCCACGATTCTCGCCGCGACGTTCCTTAAATATTCATATTCCTGAAACAAAAAATTTAATCTTTAATTACTTCTGCTTACCCAGTCCAATATAGAGAACCTACAGTAGCAACAATATCATAATTTTTATGTTCTAATCGGAATTTGTGCATGTTTCAGTGAAGAAATCGCATCTTTGGTTAGGTAGAAATTTATGTTTTAGTTAGATTGATACTTGAGTACCTCTCATCTCCAACGATGAACTTACTAGGCCATTTCTTTCAATCAAAAGTAAATACTCGTTTACATGCAAATATTCAGTTTGTGTTTCATGTTTTTAAACATGGAGATATATAACGCCATTTAAGGATGTTGCTTCAGAAAGGGCGAGATGCCCAACCAAACTGAGGGGGGATTGTGTTTGGCAGCATGCGTATTACTAATCTGTAGGCTGGCTCACGAGCTAGGAGATGCCTATCATCTCAGGAGGATGCACAACGGGCCTAATGAGGCCTAAGTGCCGTAGGGGTAACCCATCCTCCACACGTTACAGATACAGATGCGTATTACTAATGAACAACACCTGCTTTACACTGTTGCCACACTGAACAATAAATGTTTACTTTTCTGGATATCACTTTCAGTTACAATGGTTGTAACCAGAAAAAGGCATTAACTAATAATAAAATGCATAAGGAAGGCAAATATACTTCCTTCCTGTAATTCTGAAGCCTTTTGTGAATGTTAGAGCCTTATGGTATGTCAATTCCGAATTATAACCAAAAAAATCCGTGTAGTAGTTAGTCATCGATGGTCACATCATATTTACAAACATTTTATTTCAGTTTATTAGATTAATAGCCGGTTGCAAGAACGTCCATTAAAATTTATAGCAGTCAGTTGCAGGAACGTTCATTAAAATTCAGTAGTCTGATTCTGATTGACTTTGACAGATGTTTCTACTGAATAATTTGAAGTTCATATAATTCAGTCAAGTCAACATCTCAAGATTTTCAAACTTTATTAGGTCCATACATTTTAATGGACGTTCAAGAACATGCAACTAAGCTCTGTCGATGTAAGTTAACCAAAGTTAGTGATAAGAAGAAAGGTTGAAAATGAGTGGGATTATCTCATCGCCTTCCACTGTGACTACTTGGATGATAATACAAATAAAAATTAATTAAGGGCAAACCTGCATTAAAACCGGTTCCAGCGACATTAATCTGCCTTCGGTTCTTTGATACACCACAGAGCACTGAAGCAACAGGATTTTGGGATTGTCTATTTCGGTCAACATATCTTTGTGAGCTACGTTTTTACTGCAAACAACGCCGCCAATGAGCGACGTATCGCTCTTCATACCGCCCGATAAAATTTTAAATTGGACGTAATGTCGAATGTCCAAATCGATAGCGTCGTGATTTTTATCTGTAAGTAAAAATTATGATATTTTGACAGACGTCACTGTTAAGGAACACAACCTTACCGGGTCTTATATTAGCGATAAGATCTTGTAACAAAGGGATGATGACTTCTGACCAGGAATACCCCAATCCTTGCGACATTAAAAGTTGCTTTAACAAACTAATTTCGTGTTGCTCGAAAGTTTGACTTAAAATCGTATAAGCAAGTTTTTCTCCGTTTTCTTCTCTTAATTTTAAAGCATTGAACCAACCTTTAAAAAATCAATTTATTAATACATATGCTGCATTAGTGTGACGTCAGTGAGCCAAACAAATACAAACAAATCTGGCATTGATTTTGACAAACTTTTTTTTAAATATATAGGCTGTAAAAAATGTAACTAAATTATTTTTATTGTAGTTATTGCAGTGGAATGTATTTAGATTCATACAATTTTGAAAATGATATAAATTAAATCCAAATTAATATCTAACCTCTATTTTTATTTATTGCTTTGCAGAATTGATTACTAATGATTATTAAACTAAAATGTTATCTACTTAGGAATATATTTTAAGACCTAAAATCACTCAAATAAAATAATAGCAGTTAAAAACTATATATTTATTCTACAAACAACTTTGTTTAAATCATTTTTTTGTCATCACTAATGCACCACATTACCACAAACTGGTCAAAATACTGTCATAAAAAATAATAATGTAATAATAATAATAATAATAATAAACAAAGATGAGTTGTTAAAAGATTGGACCAAACAAACCACTTTCAAGTTGAAATTAAAAAATTAACCAATAAAAAAAACATGGCTACTTTTATAATATATATAATATAAATACAATCCATTTCACATAAATTATTAGACAAATTAGAAACAAAACTAGTTGCCGAATAAAATAATACTTTCCAAGATCTGACAAAAGGATATTTTCATGTAAAAATGTAAAATTACCAGATTCGGGTGCCGCTTCAACCTGTTCAGGCGGTCTGACAATCTCAGTTTCTTGTTTCTCTTGTTGCTCGGAAACAGTGCTCGAATTTTGATGTTTATATTCATCAAGCGGTCTGGATAAATAAACAGTGTTTGCTTCTAAATTGAGATCTAACATATAAGAAGATGAAGATGTTATATTTACGGGAGATACCTGTTCATTTTCTGAATCTGAAATTGAAATATTACTAGAAAATTATTTTTGTTTTAATTTTGTATGAATTACCCGTCGTGCTAGATTCATGTGGTATCTGTTGAACCCAATGGGGCTCCTCATGGTAAGGAACATCGAAATTGGACCCAGATAGAGGCAATTCGGGATATGAAGTAAGTTTTTTGTGATAGAAAGCATAACCATCAATGAACATTGCTGGATCGGACAAACTTTCTATATAGCCACCTTCTAGTAGAGCTTGACATATTGCGGAAGCTTGGACCCTACAAAACAACGTTAAATTAACATATACTCATAAAATTATTCTGATCTTACCTATTTTTCGATTTCTGTTGAAATATCAACCAATCAACTAACTCAGAGCCCAAGAAACAATCGGTGTATGTCTTTAAACGATATCTATGCGTCTCGAATTGTAATCCACTTGTAGGCTTTAACATTTCTTCATACAGATTTCTAAGGGACGCCGAGTTCTGAAGTGCCCTACATTTCTCCTCTGTTGACAAATACGATGTATTTGTACTGCAAGTTAACTTTCTTTAGAATATTTCCAATTGTTGCCACTTAATCCATTTAAATATAGTATATATTATGCAACAAATTAGTAGACCAATTTATCTATGAGCGCAATAATTAATAAACCACAAGATATACATTTTTTTCTGTGATTTATCTACCAAGAACAAAGACCAGTGATAAGCCTTGTTCATTTAATATATTTTATTAGATTTCTTTGCGATCTCGGTGAACATTAACTTGCATTGGTTTGTTAACCCACTCTTTTAATTATGTTGTGTGATGTTTTTCACCAGAGATCAGTAGTGGGAATATTACCCATAGATTGTGAAGAATATAACCCATTGATTGTGAATAATATTCCCCATTAGTCTTTTCATGTCAGTAGAATCTTTTGAAACAAAAAGAACAACAATAAAGATTTATTTGATGAAAGATTGAGCGGTTAGCTATAAATGCCAGAGACCATTAAATAAAAGAAAAATAATGGAGATTGACGAATTAAATATTTACTTTCTATTACCCACTGGTTTTGAGAATTTATTATTTATTTTTTGAAATTCAATCTTGTTTAATTATGTTTATTAACCGACTTCAAAAAAGGAAGAGGTTCTCAATTCGTCGATATATAGATTTTTTTAAAAACGGTGTCTGATTTCAATGAATCTTTTTTTGTTAGAAAGGGGGTTTTCAGGGGTGGTCCCATATAAATTTGGTCAAAATCTAATTATTGGGTCCATGAGAAAATCCTCAAAATCTTCATTTTTTATGTATATTTACTGATAATTTGGTCAAAATCTAATAATTGGATCCAATGGAAAATCCTTAAACTCTTTATTTTTTATGTATGTTTAGCGATAATTCTTTACTATCTTGTCCGATTTCTATGATTCTTGTTTTGTTAGTAAGGGGTAACTCAGGGGTGGTCCCATATAAATTTGGTTAAGATGTGGTGATGGCATCTGCACGATTTTGAAGTCGGTTTTTTAAAATTACTTTTAATACTTGTTTTAGAAAAAAAAATCTTTTCTACACTTAGTTAAATTATAGTATAGGTCATTCACTGAATTTACACCCATATCGGATTAAGAAACAGATGCACGACTGATCCGGTCTACAGGATAATTTCGCATCAGGTAGTTGAGTAAAATAAGCGTAGTCCTCCGGTGGGTAGAGGGTGAATATATTTTAATTATTAAATACTTATATAGTATGTAATTATGTTTATTAAAATTAAATTACTAAAGTAATACACGAAAAAATGAAAATATTTATAATTTTGTTTTGGACATTGTTTATGGTAATACCATTTTCCCCGAATACAATAAACGCTTTATGGTCAGGAATTTCCGGAAGTCCCCTTCTCAGGTATAAAATTAAGATTAAATTTTCTATTTTTGTACTGATGTTATAGGACTAATTGCGCTAAATTATTTAGTTCAGTTTTGGATTTCGAAGAGAACTTATGTCGAAACTGAAAATGCCGAAGCGCGTGTTACGTGTAGATGACTTAATTTGTAATCTACATAAGTATTTTACGGCGGAAAATGATAACGGAGGATCTTTAAAGCCAGTAGTGAGTGTGCATGAACGCGTCTGTACAGCTCTCGGTATTAGTGATTCAAAATTAAAATATGTTTTGATAAACTTCAAAAGCGGAGAGAGCAAAAAAAAAGAAAAAATAGACACCTCGCAAAAAACTGAAAACGTCGGATATATCTGGTGGGACAAAATTTCGTATTCATTATATGGTGTATGAAATGCGTGCGAGAAAGGAACATGTCAACTTAGACACATTGCTGGCTAACTTAAGAGAAATACAAATTGGTGAATTTGGCAGAACAAGTCTTAGGAAGTTGCTTAAAGAAATAGGTTTCAAATTTAAGAAGATAATAGAAAAGCTTTATGTGAATAAAATAATTTTTTAAGAGAATACACTCGTTTAAAAGATAATGGAGCTTCGTTTATATATTTGGACGAAACCTGGATATTTTCCAAAGGTGGAACGAAAAGAATATGGCAAGATGAAAATATAAAATCGACATATAATCTTACACGCAGGTGGAAAGAATGGATTTGTGGATGGTGCAGGATTAATATTTTCCTCTAAATCAAAATCACGACGATAACATGAACTCGGATATGTTTATCAAATGGTTAAATGAAAAACTATTACCAAATTTAAGTGAACCGTCTGTTATAGTGTTAGATAATGCAAGCTATCACACAGAACTTTTAAACAAACCGCCAAGACAGAATTGGACTGTAGCCAAAATACAAGAATGGCTACGTAACGAAAATGTTGCATTTCCACAATACGCCCTTAAATCTGAGTTGTTAACTATAGCCAAACGGCATGAACCACCACAAATTTATATGGTAGATCAAGTCATACATAGTTATGGACATGGAATGTTACAGCTTCCATCGTACCATTGTCAGTTTAACCCCATCGAACACATTTGGGATATATGTAAAACGTATTATGACAATCATATTGGAATTAATGGTTACAGCGACGAAGCAGTAAGGGAAATATGGAAACAAGCACTGGATACATCAACCCCAGAAATTTGGCAAAAAAAGTGTTCAAAAATGTGATAAATTAATTGACGACTGGTGGGCACGTGAAAACAGGATAAATGAAATTAACCCAATAATTATATCCCTTACTGATGACAGAGACGCTAGTGACACAAATTTTGAGAGTGATGCTGAAGATTTATAGGTATGTCAAAAGACAATTATTTATAATAATCACTGTTTAATATAGAATTTTAAAAGTTATGTTATTTTTAATCATCGCACTTACTTAATCGCTGGGTAAAACTGTGTATGTAAATTAAATTTTTGTTCTGAATAAACTATTATTAAACAACAAAATCATGTAACTATCTCTTTTAAGCTTTCTGAGGCAAAATTAAATACCTAAAATTTATATTAATTTTGTTTCTATAAGAACCCCTTGCAATATACAAAATAACGCCACCCATGAGTAAATGTTTAAAAAAACAACTGACCAGTCAAATCTTTCATATATTTCTTAATCCGATATGGGTGTAAATTCAGTGAATGACCTATAACTATAATTTTTAGTAAAATAATATAGGAAATATTCCCCTAATTAAATTATGGGGGAAGGTACCCAACTCTGATCCCCACTATTTATTAAATCTGCATCCTGATCTAGTATACATATAATAGTTTCAATTTATAATAATTACCAATATGTGACCCTTCCATACAGAACGCCACTGTTTCTTGTACAATTTCCCCTCGCCAAGATAAACAAAATGTTTCTATGTATAATTAGGGTTGCCAGATTTACGAAAGTAAAAAGCGTGACAACCCTGACGATATAGCATCAGGTTTAAATACCAAGCATTTTTATATAATTAGGTGATTGTGAAATTTCTAAAAAAAAAAAAGTCTTCGCCTTGTATTTTTCATAAATGAGGGTCCTTTATGACTTTGGATATTATAAGTAATTTTAAAAAACCGACTTTAAAATCGTGCAGATGCGGTCACCACATCTTAACCAAATTTATATGGGATCACCCCTGAGGTACCCCTACTAACAAAAAAATAATCATAGAAATCGGAAAAGGTGGTAAAGAATTATCGCTAAATATACATAAAAAATGAAGAGTTTATGGATTTTTCTCATGAAACCAATTATTAGATTTTGACCAAATTTATATGGGAGCACCACTGAGGTCCTTCTTACTAACAAAAAAAAAAGAATCATAAAAATTGGACAAGGAGGTAAAGAATTAATGCTAAACATACATTAAAAATGAAGAGTTTGAGGAATTTCTAATAGACCCAATTAATTGATTTTGACCAAATTAATATGGTCTGAAGTACCACCTTTCCAGCAAAAAAAGAATCATTCATTTCGGACACCCTGTTAAAGAATTATCGCTAAACATACTTAAAAAAAAAAATATTATGACAAATTGAGAACAGCGTGGCATAAAGTGGCATTTTTATCAAAAGCGGGACATTTTCGTACTGTGACGTTGAGCGTACAAGCAAGTCAAAAAGCGTGGAAAATATGCCAAAAGCGTGACATCTGGCAACCCTATATATAATACCTTTCACAATGATACCTGCCTATCCTAATAGATGGTCGAATGTATTTACAATTGCAGGCAATTAACATTACACAAATCAAGTTTCTCGGTTGCATACATACACATTATTAGTAAATTGTATCCTTTTATTTAATTTGTACCTCAAAACTGTTTTTTATTATCAAATATTGCTTATCTAATCATTTTTTTAATGACATTGCAATAGTGTAAAAATTAGATTGTGTGCAATCATATTTCAGAACTATTAAATGGATATGCAAGTTCCATCCTCGACATTCGCAAAATAATACGAAATTATCTCATTCTCTATTGTGGTCATAGAAAAGAAAAATATTTTAACACACCCATGATTTGAAAAAGAACTACTTCAATTACTTTATAAGCACCTACTTTTCTGAAAAGAATTTTTCTTCTTGGTAACCAACTGAAATCTTCCTTTTTGCATTATTATCATCATTACTTATTATAGATGCCTGCAGAGTTCGTTCTTCAAAAGATCTTGGGGAAACGGCACCAAATTTAGACTGTAAACTTTCCTGGAGCATTCTTAAATCATTTGTTAAAACTGCACTGAAATCTGAGGATTGTAAATATGACAGTACTACCTTGCAACAATATGTGCACACTCTTAATTCTCCTAAAATGTTACTTTTATTAATAACCAATTTGGAAGACTGTAATACAGAGGTTTTAGATTTTGTACCTGTACATCCAAATATTTTACCAGGTATTTGTTGGTTGCAACATTGCGAGCAAAATATCTGTCCACAAACCCTGCAATGATGTCTTCTTCTAAAAGTAGTAAATTTTTCAGAGCATTCATAACATTCTTTACTAACTGAATCCGGCATCCAGTACTGCTTTAATTCAGTATCTCCATAGTCTTGTAGACTCTAAAATTATGTTCTGAATAAATTAACATTTCCTAATAACAAGAATTATATTCTTACACTACTTTTAAGGGCTAAAAGATTACTTATTCTCTTTAAAACATTGGGTAAACTTCTACCCTCATTAACGTCCACATCATAAACATTGGACGATTCTGCAATATTGTATGGAGTATCCGAAACTGTATCCGCTGCCCAAGTAGGCAATGATTCGCTAATACTGTCTGTTTTTTCTCCTGTTGGATTTTCTTCAGGATTACCATTTTTTCGCCAAAAGAAATTTGCTAAAAATTGCCCAACACTAGCGGGTTTGGAATCTTCTGATTGTAGTGGTCCGAATTCGGTTAATTTTGTAGCTGTCTGTAGATTTTTGCTCATTTTTAAAAAGTTACAAATACGTTACATTACTATAAAATAACTCAAAATTGAAAAAGTTTATCTTAAAATTAAACTGACACTAAATGACAGTGACGTTTACCTTTTACTGACATATCCAGTGTTGTGTTATGTTTTTGTTATGTACCAGATTTATCTAAAAAATGTACTAGATTTTTCAAATTCTATTTTCCGTTAATTGAAGAGCAAAAAGAATATCTTTATAGAGAACAAACACAAACAAGAAGGAATATACAACAATATACACGTCAAATGGAATTAATTACACAACAAATGGAAACATACGCTGCTGCATGCTAGGGAAGAAAAAGTACTAGATTTTATGAAAATTTACTAGATCCAATACTAGCTCTAGTACAATTGCACTAGACTGGCAACACTGGACATATCACATGTGACATCACTAAACTTCACTAGTGGTGACTAAGGGGAGGTTCTCGTTTCCGTATATTTATATTCTATTTAAATATTTTGTTTTAATTATTTGATAAATTTCAATTTACTCAATTCATTGTTACTAAAGTAGAACAAAAATAATTAACAAATCCTAGATTGAACACCGCTAACGATAAATAACTGTTATTCGTTGCTGTCGACAAAGAATAAAACCGTTGACGAACTAGTAACCATTTCTTAAATTTTATTTATTGGTTATGTTAAAAGTTTGAAATTATTTACAATAGAAAATAGTGTAAAAAATAGAAAAAACATAAATGAGATTGAAACATGTTTAGATTATATAATAGGGGAAGGTACAAACATCTTCGAGACATTTTTTACAGTACATGTCACAGAAAGAATTCTACAATAAATGCAAATAACGGTAGGTAGTTACATTTTATATATCTCTTGTAACATTAAAAAATACGATACTGTTTTAGAATTGGATCAAGGGTATGTACCACACAAACTAGAACCTTTTAATAAGAATAAAAATTATTTCAAACCTCCTGTTAAAATAAGTAAACCATTCACTTTAGTATTACCTCCACCGAATATTACAGGAACTTTGCATTTGGGACATGCCCTTACAGCTACAGTACAAGACGTTATTATAAGATGGTAAAAACAAATTTTCAATTAATGTATTACACACACTTGTAATTTATATATTGTTTTTAGGAAGCAAATGCAGGGAATAGAAACAGTTTGGATACCTGGAATGGACCATGCTGGAATTGCAACTCAAATGGTTGTTGAAAAACTTCTTTGGAAAGGTTCTAAACAAACCAGATATGATATTGGGAGAGAAACGTTTTTGGAAAAAGTGCAGGAATGGAAAAATGAAAAGGGTGGAGTAATAGGTAGGTACATTAGGTATGTTCCAACTTCCAACACAAGCAAAAACTATAGGTTTGTTTCAGCAGCAAGTTCTAAACCTTTCGAACATGCTCATTAAATTTCTAGAACATTTTAAGCATGCACAATTTAAAAATAGAGGTGATATTTTGTTAATTTCATGGTTGGTATGTTTGGAACATCTACTGGAACAAACCTAATAATATTATGTTACAAATCATGCACAGAAGTGTATACAGCACATGATTTGTACAGTAATATTATGGTTTTCTCTTGAGTTGAACCAGACTTATTATCTATTTGCTTTTTCAAATATTTCATTTGTTAACTTTTGTTTTCAGGAGAGCAGTTGAGACAGTTAGGGGTACTTCTTGATTGGGATAAAGAAGTATTTACATTAGATGAACAACGTTCTAAAGCTGTAAAGCAAGCATTCATACAGCTTTTTGATACAGGATTAATTTATAGGTAAATCTTATTATTTTGATTTATTGCTCCACTGACAATAGCAAGAATAAGCAGATACAGAATAAGGGTACATTCAGTAGGTGTGAAGAGGGAAATTTTATTACATGTAATAATTTTGTTTTTAATATAGAATTTGCAATGTTTCAACATATTTTCTAAAATAATTTATTATACAAAGAACATCAACTAAGCTACTAAAATAATAAAAGCTATAAATCAGCCTTATAAAAAATAATGTATTTAACAAATGTTTCATAATTTACATGTTTTCTGAGTTATCTATCTGTGCATGAAACGTGAAGAAAATACTTGGTTTTCCTTACAAGTTTTCCTTGATTTTGTTGTTGTCTGCTGTTGTAGTGATCTGATAACTTGTAGACTGTGTAATTTTTTGCAGAAAGATATTTCCTTGGATGTTCTCTTTTCAGCATAGAATAAATAAAGCAAGAAGATGACTTAATTTTATATTCTATACAAATATATAAAATATATTAAATTACATTATTTAACGTATAATAGTATTTTGCAATTTTTACAATACTTATGAATGCTTTTTATTTGTAACTTATGTTATAAGTTCAAGAGAATTAAATTCAAAATTATTTCTGTCTGTACTGGTTAAAACTCAAAAAGATCATCTTATAGAATTAATATGTTAAAAACTAACTGCATTTTATGATGGCTGCCGTTGAATGATGAAATCATATTTTTTTGTTGCCAACTTTGAGATATCTCTTCTTTATTTGATTTCAACAATCTTATAAACAGACACAGACTGTGATGAGGTATAGAATTCTTCTCAGTTAATAATTCAAAATTCTTACAAAGTTATGAGTTTTTGTTTTTAAATTAACTGAATATTGTAGGATAAACAAACGTCAAAAGTGGTGTGATATTTTATGAACCCTGTACATCGGATATATTTAATTTTTAGATATGATGTAATTGTATCAGTAATTATAAAATAAATTAATTTTGTTTTTGTGCAGAGTAGGAAGTTTGACTGGACCATTTAATATTATTTTTTATAACCTTTACAGAATTAGGGAAAAAAATTAACTCTCTTTTGCCAAAAAGAGACAAACGTAGGTGCTTTTAAACTGTCAAAAAGAAACAAAAGTTGTTATGTAGCTTTTAAGGCATGCCAATCAAGTTAAAACTATTCTGTGTAAGTAAATGGTTTTTGGTTTTTATTTCAGATCAGACTCATTGGTAAATTGGTCATGCTTATTAAAATCAGCGATATCTGATATTGAAGTTGAACAACTTCCTATTACTGGTTCAACCTATGTTTCAGTTCCTGGATATGACAAACCTGTGGAATTTGGTATACTAACAAAGTTTGCTTATATAATTGAAGGAACAGGTAATTTTTAAATATTAGTCGTCAAAATATATTTTGCAAAATCTGACTAAACATTTTCAAGGTGAAGAAATTGTTGTGGCTACTACTCGTCCTGAGACAATGTTGGGTGATGTTGCTGTTGCAGTACATCCTGAAGATCAGAGGTATAGCAAATTTATTGGGCTTCATCTGAAACATCCTTTTAGACATGATCGAATACCAATCATCGCCGATGCCTTCGTAGATCGTGAATTTGGTACAGGTATGTGTTGTTCAATATGTAACTTAATTTTACAATTATCCAGAACCAGAGACACGATAGGTGTGCATCGTGATAGATTTGTTGATAGTGTGGCGTAAGCTTTTCTATACAAAGCAAAGTAACAGTGACAGCAGCTGTATCAATATAAATAATAATGCTGTCATAGTTGTCCAAACTTTAAATTTTACATGAAATATAAAATGTTCAATATTTGTACAAGAAAAACTATAGATTTATAAATATGTTACAATTATTATGTTCTGCCCTTTTTGCTTGATTTATATGAGGAATCAAATCAAAAACATATTTGTTTACAGCAGATGACGAATGATAGTGAAATCTGACATAGTTGTCATGGTAACTTAATGTTAAAACAAAGACGTGGTACAAACGTTTTTATATGTCACGGTCCTTTTATGTTAAAATTTATAGTATGGCTACAGTCATAGCCCTCAGAAGGTCTAGATACCGCATCGTAAAAACATTTTGACCCCCCATATGATGGGCGCCATGATAAATAAATGTCAATAAATTTTAAGTTGGCACTAGTGACAAGACAGAATCGGCGCAAGTTTAGTAATAATCGTAAGATCGGCGTTCGACGTATATAATCGATTTTATTATCTGTTGTGTTGTTTATTTTGTTCTTCTAGTAAAGGTTTTATTTAAAACATTATTTTTTAGTTTAGTCGTTTAGTGTTTTATTTTAATAAAAAAACATTTGTGGTTTGGTGTTAAATTTTACAGGATTTTCAAAATCTCTTGTTGTTTTGTACCTGAATATAACAATGCATCTAACGGTAGAAGATTCAAGGAAGGAATAACATTTCATGTGTAAGTTTTCACAAACATTTGTGTATTTACAAAATCAAATAATTTGTATGTTTTGTTGTAGCATATCAAAAAATTTTAGGAAAGAATAACTGATAGCCATAGGAAGACCAATTGAATCATTTTGTGACTTTAGTATAAGCCCAGAAAATTTGGGGATACTAGCTGAAACGGCAAATGTGTTATTGGCTCCTTGTTAGTGACCTATTGCACAATTTTTCCAACACACGTTCCATGATCCTTTGAACTTGGCTGCACCGTACTGATGAAGACCAATAGTACGAAAAACGTGTCGACCGTTACTTCTTTTTTACTTTTTTTTATTCGGAAAATATCCACTATTACTACCTTGATACAATAATATTAGTTCCGTTCTAAGTAGGTACATATTATAGTTTGTATGTTTTATGCTTTATTTTTTTACATGTAATAAATGATAGGAAATATACTTTTATAGTAAATAAATTGATTAAAGCAATATGTAAGAATAAGTTTATCTAAGGAATAAATTGTTAAAGCAATTTTTCATATCCATTGTTTATTAATTTGTTTCATTTAATTCTTTCTTATTGAGTAAGTTATTTCATATAAATATGCAATCCTAAAATGTAATATTTTCTTTTAAATAGGTATATATTATGTTTGTATAAAATATTGTTCAGTTAATAAAAACAGAAATATTTTGTCTTTTATTCAAAAGAAGATTGTAAATTTTTCAAAATATATTTACCTACCCCAAAAAAAGATTAATAAAACCAGTTCGTCATATACACATTTTCTATACAGTGAGCACCAGAAGTCTTACCCCCCCCTATCTAACTCGTTACTGGAGTCTTGTTGGGAAAATCGCCGAGACACATCGATTTTTGATTTCTACAATGTACATTTTTGTATGAATAGTTTACCCTTAATGTCATCCCTTACTGGAGGGGAGCAACCCTTTCGAAAAATTTAAATGGCATGGGGTGGTGAGTGATAGCTCATTTGAAAGAGGGTTTTATTCTCTATTTAACTTGTAAAAAAAATTGAAATTTGCTTCATTAATTCTCGACTAATTGTTGTTTCAGAATAACGGAAATTAACGTAGCGCACTCATCCTTAGAATTAAAATTCGCCCCTGCATGATTTCGGTTTTGGTTCAGACGTGAAGTAAGATTTTTTGCCATTAGAAAGTCACTGTTAGTCTAGTTGCTTTCCTATTTTGTGAGGTTTTGTTATTTTTAAACATTAATAAATCAACACGTAATGAAGCAAATTTCAAAATTTGTTGCACAATTGAATAGAGAATAAAACCCCCTTTCAAATGAGTTATCACTCACCACCCCATGCCATTTAAATTTTTCGAAAGAGTTGCTACCCTCCAGTAAGGGATGAAATTAAGGGTAAACTAATTATACAAAAATGTACATTGTAGAAATCAAAAATCTACCTGTCTCGGCGATTTTCCTAACAAGACCCCAGTAACGAGTTAGTTAGGGGGGTAAGACTTATGATGCTCACTGTATATTTATAGAGGTACTTTTTAAATAACTTTCAATACATTCGAAATCTGTGGTTTTATTAAACTCAATGTAACAAATAATAATAGGTATCCTCAAAAATATGTAAAAATAAAATCGAGATGGGACTCTTGTATAATTTATGGTTAGTGCACTGCTGTATGTCCCTGGGTTTTCTACATTAGAATAATACTGCTTCTCCACTCTAGCAGTATTTTTTGCATCTCACAAGATTATATTTATTAAAAAACCAAGGAATTGTTTTGGGCCTATTGCTGTGCCCTTTTCCAACATTCCCAAAGTTTTTTTTTTACTTTCTGCTGATTGGATCTCCGATAGTGACGACAACTCCATTTGTTGTTCCACTAGTTTTTTATCAAATTTTTAAAATAACTTCTATATATTTATATTTTGCAACGACTTTGCTTACCTGCTTCATAATCTCTTCCCTATGCCTCAATTTCACTAACAGGTGACATCTTATACTCGCTCTATTAAATCAAATTATTATTATAGTTTATTTGAAAATGCTCTTGGTAGCACAGTTTTTATGGCAAAGGTCCATATTTTTATATAATTTTGCTATTATTCATTTTCAAATAAACTATAGGAATAGGAGTAATCTATTAGTTTTTCTAAAAATACCTTGTTACCGATGTAAGTATATCTTTCCCTAGTTAAAAAATTCGAGTTTTTATTTTCATAATATAAATAAATGACCGGTTAACAATCACATTCTTTTAAATAGTACATTTGACATTGAAGTAGTTATTTTTTCCATATTGCCAAACAGGAACAGATGGTTTACTTGTAATTTGAATTATATTACATAAATCTCACTGAATTTCTCTATAATTCTCATAGCAATATGTACACAAAACACTTATCCAATAATATATATATATATATATATATATATATATATATATATATATATATATATATATATATATATATATATATATATATATATAACCATGTAAAAATAACATTTCAAGAACGAGAAAATTTATAAAACCGATCCTGTCTGAACAGATCTAGGAAAATCAAATAGGTTTGTCAAAGTTTTGTTCTTAATTTGAAATTAGAAATTGTGCATCTCACTCACTTATAACTAATAACAAAGTGCAGATTATCGGTGTTCACGTATTACAGAACACACAAACTAAAAATCAGTGTAGCCAAAACATAAATTTACCTAACATGGCGACAAGCTTGAATGGGGTCATTTTTTTGTATTGACAGCATACGCCAAGCGGTATCTAGACTTTCTGAGGGCTATGGCTACAGTTTATAGCTAAAGAATCAGTTCGCTCACTCTGCGTCGGCACTATTGATCTCAATGTACTTTACCAAATGGTATCTGTACCAATCCCAATCCTGAGCAAAGCGGTTAAAAAAAATATTTTATATTAAAAAAATCACATAAGGCATGACAGCGCTAATTTTGTTTGCCCTTAAAGTTTTTTCCAGAAAATAACATATTCAAACATATCTTGATATATATCGTTAAAGGGAAACATTTTCTTCCTCTTAACATCACACAAAAACATCTATCCACGATTAGTAGGTAAAATCATTAAAAATATAAATCAATTTTTGCTGATTTAAAAATTTATTTGTATGCCTATTGTTGTGATTCATTTTTACAGGTTGCCATAGAAGCGACAAACCTTTCACACATACAAATGGTTTAAAAGGTAGGTAAACATATTAATACAGGTTCAAAAGCTAGCTTCACAATGAATTAGCATTGTAATTGTCAGGGAAAACACAGTTGTTATTATCATGTCTTATGTGATTTTTTGAATATAAAATAATTTTTTAACCACTTCGCGCATGATAGGGATTGGTACAGGTGCAATTTGGTAAAGTACAATGTTGTTACATGCCGTTGGAGCAAATTTCATTTCGTTATCAGATAACGGTCGAAATTTGCAGTGGGGCTCTCTTACTATAACCAATACAATATGACAACCGCCTGTCTTCTGCGCATCCTGAATCTGCATCCCTGGAGTGGATGTTATTTTGGAACATCCGATTGTACCGAGTGAGCTAACTGATTCTTTAGCCATAAACTGTGGTATGGCTAATCTGTTTGGATATGTCTACTTGGCCAGAACCACCTTATTAATACTTATAAAAGTTGAAGTCTTCTTAACCTTCGACAATGTTTAAAAAAAAATGTAGCAAGATAATAAGATCGGTAGAAGCTTGATATGTTGCCATATTATCTATTTCAGTTAATTTTATTTTTATTTATTTATTCCTCAGTAGGAATATAAAATACAAAAAACTTAAAATTATAAACTTAGCATATTATTTCTCTCACACTATAAGTGAGTACACACTTGTATTGTGTGGTAAGAAAAAAATAGCGTGAAATGAATACATAGATAAATAAATATTAGAAGTGGATTTCAAATCTCTGTTTGCATATTTAAGAATATAAAAAATTCTGAGTCTTATAAATAATTTAATGGTGTACATTTTCGCAAATTGTTGGCAAGGATGACCAAATTCTATTTTGCTCATCTCAAAAAGGTATGCGTTGGAAATTCCAGGCTTAGTTGACAAACTATCAAATAGAGATATAAATATTTTTTTCTAATTTGGAAATATAAAAGAGAAATTTTTCGCTGGGAGATTTTAAATTTCCAAACACCTTTT